ACTCTAGTTCTACTCCTTTTCTTAATAATACTTGAATACCTACAGGAACTTTTTTTTAAATGAATGCAGCCCCCTTTCTAGGGTATTACGCATCCTCCATGAACGGCTTCTTATCAAACATTTCTCCCATGTCCCGGGGGAAATAAGTCAGTCCTTTTGATGGAGACTTCTTTTCTCCATAGAGGCCAACACCTACCTTGGGAATCACCTGTGAGGCCAGGTGGATGGACAAGCAAGCCAAATGGAATCATCTACTAGGAGAAAGGGTACTGTACCCAGGTAGCTGTAGTTCATTCCACAAAAAGATGCAAACGGAATCACAAAGAAACCCAGGCTATCAGTCCCCAGGTTTAGGCAAGGGGCTTGTGTGCATTATCCCAGGTCAGCAGGCCCCTCTTTCCAGCGTGCTCATGTGGGGACCTAGCTGTATGAGATGCACAGTGTGAACCAGGGGTGTCTGCATCAGTAAAATTGGTCAGAGTTTTCATTATAAAACTGATTTTTAAAAAGATTTATTTATTTGAAAATCAAAGTTATAGAGTGGACAGAGAGAGAGAGAGAGAGAGAGAGAGAGAGATCCTCCATGCACTGATTCACTTTCCACAATGACCAGAGCTGAGCCAGGCCAAAGCCAGGAGCCAGGAGCCTCATCTGGGTACAATAAATTTTTATTCTGGACATTTAGAAATATGCCCCAAAGTAAAGATGGTATAACAAAAGCCCTGTGTCACAGACCTTCCACGAGTGCTCCTTCAGAGAGAAAAATATATGGGAAACATGAGAGCCCTAGTATTGGGCTGTAGGGAGCAGCATTTAGAGGGGAGCCATTAGACACTAAGGAGAAGTGACCAGGGGCTGGCATTGTGGCATAGCAGGTAAGGCCGCCACCCGGGATGCCGGCATCCCTTATGGGCACCAGTTCACATCCCAGCTGCTCCACTTCCAATCCAGCTCCCTGCTAATGTGGCTGGGGAAGAGATGGTCCAAGTTCTTGGGCCCCTGCACATATGTGGGAGACCCAGAGGAGGCTCCTTGCTCCTGGCTTTGGACTGTTCCAGCTCCAGCCACTGCAGCCATTTGGGAAGTGAAGCAGCAGATGGAAGATCTCTCTCTATCTCTGTCTCTGCCTCTCTTTCTCTAACTCTGCCTTTCAGATAAATAAATCTGTAAAAGAAGGAGGATGAGGGGCCAGAAGTCACCAGAACAAAAGCTAGAAGCAAAAAAGAGAGAATTGTAAGGGAGAACAAGGGACCAACTGTGTCAAATACTGCTGCGAGGGCATGAGAAAGGTGGACATGGAGATGGACGTGGCCTTGGGTTGGCAAGCGGAGGTCACCGTAGCCTTAGCAAGAGCATCCCCATGGGGCCGGCGCTGTGGCACAGCATGTGAAGTCCCACCTGCCACAATGTTAGCATCCCATGTGAGTGCCAGTTTGAGTCTTGGCTGTACCACTTCTGATCCAGCTTCCTGCTAACATACCTAGGAAAGCAGCAGCAGATGGCCCAAGTGCTTGGGCCTCTGCTACCCACATGGGAGACCACATAGAGTTTCTGGCTCTGAGCTTCAGCCTGGCCCAGCCCCAGGCATTGTGGCCATTTGGGGAGTGAACCAGAGGATAGATGGAAGATCGATGGATCTTTCTCTATAACTTTGCCTTTCACATAAATAAATTTTAAGAGAGAGAGAGAGAGATTGAGAGAGAGAGAGAGAGAGAATCTCAATGGCATACATGAACCAAGCCCACTGGACAGTATCAAGGAGTGGAGACCCAGAGATGGTGAAAACAGGGCCAGCCCCATGTAAGGGCCGTGCTGCGAGAAGGGGGATGGCTGACCCACGCTGCCATCTGGGGAAACTCCAGGGGTGCCACCAAGGCCACGCAGATGGAGTCAGTGGAGACTTTAAACCTGAGGACCTTGCTGTCCTTTTCCAAGTTCTGGGAAGAGGTTGGAAAAAATGGGATAACAATGGGGCAGGAGGAAGGGAGAGAGGTCTAAAGAGCAGCCAATGGATGGCCTGATCAGGATAGGGTAGCCGGACGGAGTGGTGAGTGGGGCAGAGTGAGGAAGGGCTGGAATCTGGTCTGTATAGATAGGTGAATGTCTACAAGCTTTTGATCTGATAATGTAGATCATTATCTATGCACCCACCCGAAGCTGATGGCCCTAATCCATCAGAACTGTATTCCTATGAATGCCGGTGTTGTGGCGTGGTGGGTAAAGATGAGGCCAGCAATGCTGGCATCCCAGCTGGACTCCAGTTCGTGTCCCAGCCGCTCCACTTCTGATCCATAGGAACACACACACAAGCAGACTCTATTCCACTAACATGCCTTGAGCATTTTTTCTGGAACCCTTGTCTTCTCCATTTTCCCAGTTGGAGAGCCTGCTCAGGAATTATAAACTCCTGACCGCACAGGCCAGGCTGACACGAATGTGTAATGTGGGCTGAGTCTGTAAGGTTAAGGGCAACAGTCGTGATCAGGACCATGGTGAACTGGAGGAAGCTCGTTGCCCATCTTAAGAAGGGAGCTGCTCCCCAGCTCCGTTTGCTGCTGCGTGCGTTGTTCCCATTGCTGCTATAACCCGCTGCAAACCTAAAACAACAGGGAGGCATCACCATGCTGTGTTAGGGAGCTGACATGCTGTGGGCAGGCTGACCTCTTCCTGCAGACCCTAGGGAAGAACGTGTTCCCTGCCTTCTCCACCTTCCGCATGCTGCCTGCGCTCCCTAATTCCTGGCCCCCACCCATCTTCAACGCCGACACATACTCGACTCCAGCCTCCCTCCTCTTCTGTTCTGATCTGACCCTCCTGCCCCCACCCCCATCCCCTTATCAGGATCCTTGTGAGTGCATTGGGCCCACCTGGATAATTCAGGCTCCTCCCCTCTTCTCCTAGATCCTCACCTTAGTCACCCCTACTGAGGCTCCTGTCGTGGAAGGGGATGTAATTACAGGTTCTGAGGGTTTGGTGGGGGTATCTTTGAAGGAAGCCACGTTTCTGCCTGCCACACATGTTACGTGGGAATGCAGATCTGATATGGCCAGATCTGTCGGTTCTTTTCAGGGTAGGTTAGAAAGCTGGAACGGTATATGACTGTGCAAAAAAAGAGTTAACACAGCAGGCCTGAGACTGCTGACCACAGGAAGGCCTGCTGGCAAGGTTGGCTCTTGGCCGGAGTCTGAGGATTTGGTTCTCGGTTAACAGCTGATAAGAATGGTTTATTTTGCCTAGACTGTGTAAACAAGATGGTTTATGTCCAACACCTGCTTTTCTTCTAGGAGGCTAAGCCTTGGCTATGCGCTAGGCAGGGGTGCCTATGTGATAATCCCCTGCAGAAACCCTACTGAGTCTCAGATGGGCTTCCTAGTGCAGACATGTCCTTGAAGGATGTGTTGCTGCGAATTGATTCTGAAGGAACCGTGCCGAGCCCTCGTGGGAGGCAGAGGGCACGGGCTCCTTCAGATGTTACGTGGGGCGACCCAGCTGTGTGTCCCTACTGCACCGCCGTGACAAGCCTTAGCTCTGAGCGCAACTATGTGCTGGGCCCTGGGAGTCCTTCTAGCCAGTGTCCTAACGTGGCGGGGGTGGTCTGAGGGGTGCTCTTATACAGGGACATCCCCAACTTTTTCATGTCCTACATGCTATGAAGGTTAACACCACCAAGGCCAAACATGGCACATCTAAGAGTGAGTTTGACCTCTAGGCTGCCAATCAGCAACTTCACTAGAACTACAGGAAGTGGAACAATTCCTGACACACACCTAGCAGCTGTGTACCCTGTGTGCCCAGCACCATGCCACGAACTAGAGACACAAAGATGAAAAGGCTCAGGCCTTTAACAGCCTGCCCTCTAGCAACACAGCCATGTACCCAGCACGATGTGAAGAAGTGCTCCAAGAACCCAGCCAGCTACTTACACGGTGCACCACATCACAGAATCCCCAGGGCCCCACACCCAAAGTTGTTGGGCCAGTTCTACAGTGAAGGTCGAAGAAGAGGTAAGGGTTTTGCCCAAGATAGCTCAGGTCTCTGGCTGTATTCATTCTGCTGCGGTGAGGGGTGGGGTGCAAGGACAAGAGGGCAAGGGAAGATCTGCTAGCGGCCACGTGTCCTGTAATCACCAAGGCTTCCTCCTCCATGAAGGCCGCCATGGTCTCCCCAAACAGCCTCACTGGAGGCCCTTGTCAGTGCTGTTTTTATGAATGAATCATGTTCTCCCAACCAGATGGCAAGTCTGCTGGGAAGAGAGCCCTTATCATATTTCAGTATATTTCTTTCTATGCCTTTCCCCAGTCAAATGCCAATTAGCTACTTTGTTGGTAGAAAGTTGCCATGGCTGGTGGCTGTATGGAATGGTGCTGTGCTGTCAGCCCACCCTGCTGGCCACAGGGAAACCAGAGGGGCCGAGAGGCAGGTGAGACTTTTCCAGGTGATGGCTAGCCTGGGAGACAGGTTTCTTAAAAGGCTTGCCAGCCAGCCTGCTGGGTGTCCCCAGTGGAAGCAGACGGCTGGAAAGTGCTGGGCAACTTGGGGAAGACAAAAGTAGCCCGACTTGCAAGAAATGGAAATGAAATGTAGGAAGCAGCTGAGGGCGGCTCGCAGGAGAGAAGGGGAAAGGTCCCATCAGCCATGATACCCGAATCTCCACTTTCTTTCTCAACACTTTGTTAACTCACAACACTGCTTCTAGGCTTGGAGCCTCCTCCTTTTTTGTTGGTGAAAATGCCAAGAACCCAGCCTCAGCGAGAAGGAAGTCACTTGACCAAGGTCACACGGGGCAGTCCGGATGCGAATCCAGGTCCTGAGGGTCCCAGGGGCAGCGCGCAGGTGGCGGGGCGAGGGCTCACTAATAGTGACGCCGCCGATGACGGCCCCCTGCCCGCCGGGTTGGCGAGCCACGGCAGATTCCCAGCGTCGGACCTCGCAGGCAGACTGCGGGGCTCGACTCTGCGGGAGAGTCCACAGGATCGACACCCTGGGGCTCAGGCTGTGCAGCTCCCGGCCCCCGGCCGCCCACAGGTGGGGGCGGAGGCCTGCCGTCCCGGCCGGGGACCGGCAGGCGGCGTGTAGCTGGCAGGGGCTCCCCAGCGGCGGCCGGCCAGAGCCTCCAGGGAGGGAGAGCGGGGAGAGCCCCGGCGAAGGCCAGCTGCAGCCACCTCGGAAGATCGCTCTCAACCGCAGTCGGCCTAAATCAGAACACCTGGACGTCCGGCGCCCCCATGACGCAGGTGCAGGCGAGGCGCGCCCGGCCACCGCACCCTGTGCGCCAGCCGCGGATCTGTGGAGCCCGGAGTGCCGGCCCAAAGCGGGGAACGAAGGGTTAAAGCCCGAGTCGCTGCTGGTCGCCGGGGCCCGACAGGTGAGGGACCCCGGAGCGGCAGGGGGAGGGGCCCCGGCCTGGATCTTGGGGGCGTGGCTACAGGGCCGCCCCGCCCCTGGCGGGGAGCGGCGCGCGCAGCCCCGCCCCCGGAGTATAAGAGCGGTGCGGCACTGCAGCTAGCGCAGTTCTCACCGAGACCCGTCACCCCGACTCTACGTGAGACGCACCGCCCGGACTCACCATGGTGAGTGCGGCCCCGCCGGCCTCGTGCCCTGTCCCCGAATTGCCCCTGTCCTTTGGGGGACCCTCCCTCCAGGGATGCTCCGGGCCCTCCACCTGACCCTGCGGGTCTGCAGGGGGTGCGAGGGTTCCGCACCCTGCCCCAACCCCCCTCCCGGTGACTTTGGCGGAACTATGGTGGCCACCTTCGCGGGGTGGGGGCTGGAATCTTCGCTAGCAAAGAGAAGCCCTCCGGACCACCCCCTCCTGCCTCACCAAGCGTTTGTGCCCCAACCCTCCCAGCGGAGTCACGCGGTCCCGCGCCCAGTCCTCTCCGTGGGCGACGACCCGCTTGGCTGCCCGCCCCCGGCCCTGGGACTGACCGGACATGTGCTTGGCGCCAGATGGTGGAGAGGGGCCAGGGTCCTTGGTGCCGCATCCCCGTTTCCTCAGGCTGTTTGAGCATCCCTCCTGCCCACAGCCGCTCCCCCCACCCCGGCCCGTGACTCAGCACCCCACTTCTGGCCGGGAGGGATGGCGGGAATGGGGTTCGGCCTCGTGAGGTGAGCCGGCCCCTCTGCAGCCTGAGCGCGGGTGCGCGGACGGACGGGCAGAGACAGCTGGCGCCGAGCGACGGCGCGGGCCCGGGCCAGGTTGGGGGGATGGGAAAGAGGTGTGTGTAGGGGGAGGTATTTATAGCCCAGGAGCGGGGGCAGAAACCTTATCCCTACTTTCGGCTGGGATTTAACTGGAAAGACTCCGGCGGGAGAGCGGATGTAGGGCCGGGTGCAGCGTGGCGCTCACCCTGCCCGGGGCAAGGCGGGTTACCTCTGGGGGCCCCCGGAAGGTTCCGCTTCCTTTTCTGGGTATTTGGAAACCGTCACCCTGGCATTTCGTTGGGGGAAGGGAGGCGCGCGGGTCCTGCGGACTTTGGTGCCCCGGGGGTTAATCTGCCACTGGCAGGGACGGAGCCTAAGGCTGCAGCAGCTCCCCCGTGCCCCTACCCTTTAGCCCGCTCCTGCGGAGGGCTGGCGCTTACCAGCGTTATGGCTGCTATTTCCGTGGGGGCTGAAGGTGGTGAAGCCAGCCAGAGGGCGGGGGTGGAGGTGGGGAGAGCAGCCAGATGCGACGGATCCCCAGAGCCGGATGGGCTTTAAAGGTAGGGGGAGCAGGCCACCTGGTGACCAGTGTGGTTGGTTTGATGCCAGCCGGGAAGCCTGCGGGGAGAAAGGGCTACGTGGATTTCTCTGTGTTCACCCTCAAGAGAATTGCGGTGGGGGAGGGGGTGCTCTAGTTATGAACAAGAGGCTGTACCCCTCCCCAGGCTCTGGGGGAGCTGTTTGTGGGCAGCAGGGAATGAGGGCAGCTGAAGAGCCTTGCCCGTGGTCATTACTGCAGCGTCTGCCAGTGTCGTGCACGTGCCCTCTCTGTCCTCCCCGAGTGTCCTGTGCGTGCAGCAGGATCACGAGGAACCATAGCTCTCACTTGACAAACTCCCCACCGAGAGGCAGACGAAGGGATTTGCCTGCCCTCCTGGTGCCTGCAGCTGGGGAGTCCTGTGCAGAGGAGCCTGCCCCAGCCAGCCCCAAGCCTCCACTGCGAGACTCATCCGAGCTGAAGGCGATAGCGTGGTGGGGGGAAGCCCATGAGGTGAGAGGTTGTGGCTGCCGGGCTCATGCTGTCCCCTCTCTTTATCCTTCAGCGTGAATGCATCTCCGTCCATGTAGGGCAGGCAGGTGTCCAGATGGGCAATGCCTGCTGGGAGCTCTACTGTCTGGAACATGGGATTCAGCCCGATGGGCAGATGCCCAGCGACAAGACCATTGGTGGAGGGGACGACTCCTTTACCACTTTCTTCTGTGAAACTGGTGCTGGAAAACACGTGCCCCGGGCAGTGTTTGTGGACCTGGAGCCCACCGTCATTGGTGAGAGGAAGAGGGGGCAGCGTGGGGCCAGGTGGGCAGGGACTCAAAGCTGGTCTGGAGAGTGTGTCTAGACCTGGCTCTCCCGGCTCTGTAAATTCCTCTCCCTGTTTGAAGCTGAGAAAGACAAGCTGATCTTGGGCTGGCCAGGGCAGCAGGTCTGGGCTTCTCGCACACTCTGGTATCTCAGGCTGGCAGAAGAATGAGCACTTCCTGTGCATCTGGCCACAGCTACCACCCAGGGGAAGGAAGGTCCTTGTGGTTTGTGCCCTAACAATGTGGCTCATGCCCTTCCAGATGAGATCCGCAATGGCCCGTACCGCCAGCTTTTCCACCCAGAGCAGCTCATCACCGGGAAAGAGGATGCTGCCAACAACTATGCCCGCGGTCACTACACCATTGGCAAGGAGATCATCGACCCGGTGCTGGACCGGATCCGCAAGCTGGTAAGAATTTGCCGTGGAAGGGAGAAAGCCGTGGAAGGGAGAGAGCCCTGGGCTATGCTAAGGGGTCAGGAACATTGTTTTCAGATCTAATTCAGGGGCTCATCTCCGACTGTGTGCTTAGGTTTGATGTGGCTGAGAGATACTCATTAGTCTTTGCCTTGACTTCTGAGCTATTGTAGGCTTTATGGAGCCGGAAGAAAGAGCTCCCTGGCTTCCCCTGACCACACCACATTGCTCTTTCTCTTTCCAGTCTGACCAGTGCACAGGACTTCAGGGCTTCCTGGTGTTCCACAGCTTTGGAGGGGGCACCGGCTCCGGCTTCACCTCGCTCCTCATGGAGCGGCTCTCTGTCGACTACGGCAAGAAATCCAAGCTGGAGTTCTCCATCTACCCGGCCCCCCAGGTGTCCACAGCCGTGGTCGAGCCCTACAACTCCATTCTGACCACGCACACCACCCTGGAACACTCAGACTGTGCCTTCATGGTGGACAACGAGGCCATCTACGACATCTGCCGTCGCAACCTGGACATCGAGCGCCCAACCTACACCAACCTGAACCGTCTCATCAGCCAAATCGTCTCCTCCATCACAGCGTCCCTGCGCTTCGACGGGGCCCTCAACGTGGACCTGACGGAGTTCCAGACCAACCTGGTGCCCTACCCCCGCATCCACTTCCCCTTGGCCACCTACGCGCCGGTCATCTCCGCAGAGAAGGCCTACCACGAGCAGCTGTCGGTGGCGGAGATCACCAACGCCTGCTTCGAGCCCGCCAACCAGATGGTGAAGTGTGACCCCCGGCACGGCAAGTACATGGCCTGCTGCCTGCTGTACCGGGGGGACGTGGTGCCCAAGGACGTGAACGCCGCCATCGCCGCCATCAAGACCAAGCGCAGCATTCAGTTTGTAGACTGGTGCCCCACGGGCTTCAAGGTTGGCATCAATTACCAGCCGCCCACCGTGGTGCCTGGGGGCGACCTGGCCAAGGTGCAGCGTGCCGTGTGCATGCTGAGCAACACGACCGCCATTGCGGAGGCCTGGGCGCGCCTGGACCACAAGTTTGACCTGATGTATGCCAAGAGGGCATTTGTGCACTGGTATGTGGGGGAGGGCATGGAGGAGGGGGAGTTCTCTGAGGCCCGGGAGGATATGGCTGCCCTGGAGAAGGATTATGAGGAGGTGGGCATCGACTCCTATGAGGATGAGGATGAGGGAGAAGAATAGAACAGCTGCCCGAGGCCTGTTCACTATGTCTATTGCAAAATCTTTTCAAAATAAAGTCTCCTTGCACGGTTTGGCGTCCTGTTGTGAATGCCTAGGCTTCTGCTGCTGCCGCTGCCCTTACCCTTTGCTGCTCACGATCCTTTTCTGTCCCACAGCTGAAGGTGAGAGCTGCCAACGGGCCCTCACTGGGTCCAGGAAGCATGACCCCAGGGACCTTGCTGTAAGGTCATAGGGGCACCCTGGACAGGGGAGAAATGAGGACCAAATCCTGGACCTGTCAGTCTAGCCACAGGCTACTCAAGGACACACGTCTTTACTTCCTTTCCAAGCAAGAGTTTAAGCCCAGTGTGGCTGTGTCTCAGTCCTATTGCTATTCTTCTTGCTGCTTCTGCATTCCCCAACTCTGGAAGCAAAGCTTGGCCCCGGTTCCTCTGTGCATGAGGGTTTGGGAATGGGGCTGGGCTGGCCCAGAGTTCCTGGGCAAACAGCCACATCCTAAGCTTGGGGGATGGGAGGGAACAAGGGCCACCTCTTGGAGTTGTTTGTGCCACTGCACCTCCCAGCAGCTTTGCACAGCCTGATGTCTCGCTGCTTCGCTGGGACTGGGGCTGTGCCATTGAAAGTCAGATCATCTCCCTCTGTTTGTGCCTTCTTTCTCGGCCTCCATGCTGGCTGGTGGGAGCCTCCCGCCAGGGCCCTAGGGAAAATTTCAACCTAGCTAATAGGCACCCCAGGACCCATGCTGACGTCAGCAGCTGGGGGTGGGGGGTTGGCACGGCTTGGGGGAGGAAACTTCTGTCTCACGAGCAAGAAGTGTGAACTCTGCCACTGCCTCCCCTCCCTGGTGACTCAGGGCCTGGGTGCCCTTCCCTGAGAACAAGCCCCAGGCCCCGCTCAGGCAGGGCCCCTGTTTACTCAGCAGCGCGGGCAGGAAGTGGCAGCTGATTCCACCATGCCACACTGGCCTCATTAATCATTAACCATGTGTGAGCTGGAACCTGCAGGGAGCAGGGAGCCGTGAGGAAAGTGACTGGCGGCTCACCCCCCTGCCCCCGGGCTGAGGATGGGAGCCCTGTTGTGTAGCTGTTCCAGACCTTCCTCGGGTGTCTCCACCCAAACGCCCTTGCCTGGCAAACCGGCTGGGCTGGGCTGCTTCGACCAAGCTACACTCCCCCACCCCGGGAGTGAAGGAAGGGAAGGACTAGTCGAGCGAGCTTTCACGGCGCTCTGCTCCCAGTTCCTGCTACAGCAGCGTTGCGTTAAGGCTCTGACTAAGGAGACCTGAGGTAAGAACAGCTGCCTCCTTACACGGAATGGTAAAGTCACACCATGGCTACCCGCAACAGTCTCCCCTCCTCCCACGCTGTTCCCTTGGAAATGGCAGCCAGACTGTAGGCCCCTTGCAGCTCTTCTCTCCAGGAACACTGAGACTAATACGCCAACCTCTTTTCACTTTATTCTTTTGTTTATACGTTCTCCTGCTCCCAGATCTGGAGGCAGAACATGATGTGGACTCGGCAGTCACACTCAGACCCACGTAGCGCATTCTCTGTTTCCCTCTCCAACCTCCGCCCCCACCCGCACAGTCAGGCCCCTTGGTGGCATTCAGACAGCAGAAGAGAAGAGGTGAGGTCGAGATCACTGTACAAGAGCAGTCTGGATCGAATGGATGGAGAGTCCAGCGAGGGCTGGGAGCCTCCTCCCAAGGTACAAGGACCACCTTCTCAGTGCGGCCACTGCTTTGTTCAGATCTGGGTCGTGTGCTGGCCAGGAGCTGAGGGCTGCAATGCCTCCAGCTGACTGAGCAGGAGCGGAATGTGAGGGCGCTGCTGGGGGTCCACAGTCATCATGGAGGCCAGCAGCTGCCGCAGTGCCGGAGAATGCCTGTGGAGGGAGACGGGCAGGTGACTGGAAGCCCCAGTCCCTTGCTAAGGGTCCAACTCAGATAATAGCAGGGAGACATCCAAAGCGCCTGGTCCCCTCTTGTTCACCTGGGGCTCTGCGGGATGCTGAGTTGGTTCTGCACAGCCAGGGCCACGCTGTCACCCTTCTGGAACACCATGTCATAAGGGCCTTCCCCAAACATCATGGCATAGAGCACACAGCCTAGGGACTGAACGTAACGTGGTTAGTCCCTGAAAGATCAAAGGGGATGGCATCTTTTCCCTTTCTTTTGAGGGGAAAGGAGACCACACAAGCCAAACAGAATAGGCCGACCTGAGCCACACAGAGCTCCCAGGGCCCAGAGAAACCCCCAGAGAGCTGGGCACCTCTGCAGCCCTCACTTCGTGGGAGGGAGACCACTTCCTTCAGTATCAGTGACAGTTTGCAGGAAGGAAGTTGAGAGAGATGGCAACAAGCTGCGGTTCCCGGGGCCCCTTGCAACAGAAACCAAAGACCTACTTCTCTGCCTGACAGCACCTCCGAGCCACGCCCCTCCCCACACAGATTCCCGCCCACATGTTCCTCACCCAGACATCAGTCCGCTCGTCGATAACACAGTGACTCTGCACGGAGAAGAGCTCCGGGGCCCGGTAGGAGATGGTGCACCGCTGGGCTGCCCAGTCCTAGAACGGTGGCCTCAGAGCTCAAAAGCAGGGCACAGGCCAGGGTCAAGTGACTGAACTGGGGCACGTAACAGAAGGGGTCAGGATGCGGAACAGGTGGGCAAAGGAACCCGAGGCTCTTACTTGCAGGGTCAGGGCCTGGCGGGAGCCCTCCACATGGATGCATGCTTGATTCATGGAACCCAAATCCATTAACACTGGCTGTCCCTCGTCGCCAAGCAAGATGTTGGTGGGTTTCAGGTCCCTGCAGAGAAGTAGAAAGGACACGTAAGCTGGAATCCGGGGGGGGGGGGGGGGGGGCTGATCACAGGGAGAAGAGCAGAGCCCTCCCCTTTCGCTTGGTGAGGTTCTTGCTCCTGGGCCCCCTGAGCACACAGGGCCCTCCCACTGACCTGTGGGCATAGCCCTTGGCATGAATGGCCTCCAGGCCTCTGCAGATGCCCAGCAGCAGCCGCAGGATTTCATCCTCAGTCAGGAAGCTGCCCTTGTCCTTGAGCCTTTCTATCTCAGCCCACAGCGTCCCTCTCTGCAACAAGAGTTTCCCCACAGCTGGAGACGGTGCCGGAGCCTCTGGTCTCTGGGCCTGATCCTGTGCCTACGTCAACGCCCATCAGCCCTCCGATCACCTAGACCTCAAACCCCCCACTCCCACATGGGCTCCTCTAAAGCTCAAGTCTGAAGCGGCCAGGACCCCTGCTGGCCGGCTCGTTTGACTGCTCACACAGTCCCTGGCGGTGGCTCTGTGGCAACCCTCTCCACACCAGGAGCATTTCTGACCTTAAAGAAGGGCAGCAGCAGCCAGGCCTCGTGCTTAGCATCTCGCTCCCTCAGGCAGTAAGCGACGAGGCGCAGGATGTTGGGGTGATGGAAGAGGCGATGCATGTCTGCTTCCCGCTGCGCGTCCTCTCGGTCCTGCTGCTCATGACACAGGATTCGCTTCAGGGCGTAGAAGTGTCCATCATGTAACCCCTCCACTAGGTCCACATAGCTGAACCCACTGTGGGCCAAAGGGGTCAGTGAAGGGCCACGGTCATCTCCCACAGGGCTTGGATTCAGAGGACTTTTCTGGGAGACGGCAGTGTCTCTCCCATTCAGTAAAAACCCTCCCAAGATGCGGCTCTAAGAGAAGGCTGAAGGTTGTTACACCTTGAGCTCCCCCAAAGCAGGCACAGGGAGACCGGGGAGGTGGACGTGGGCATAACACAGCGCTGTGCACCTGTATCAGGTGCTTATGAACCATGCACTGCGTGGGGCGGTCTAAACCCATGACCTCATTTACTCCTCACAACGCCATCAGTGAGGCGGGATAAGCATCTCCATTTAGTGGAGGAAGAAATCAATGGCTTATCAAGGACAAGCGGATGTGGCTCTAGGAGGCGGGGCTCCAGAACCCACTCTCTGGACTACCAGGCACCTAGGTGCCGTCAGGTGACCCAGAGGTTAGGGATAAAACCCTTCTGCCCCTGTCCCGTGCAGAACGCCGGTCCTCCACGACCATAACCCTGGAGATTAGGTGATTTCCAAACACTCACCCCTCCCCCAGTTTCTGGATGAAGAGGTAACGCTTATTGTCAATGATGACCGTTCCCCGAGAGCAGACACAAAGCGCGTGGCCCATAATGTCTCAAACATCCTCCTCAAGGACGGGCTGCAGCTGCCGGGGGACTGGTCCAGGGTGAGTGGGCTCTTCCGGGCGAGGCGCCGCGGGCCCAGTGGCTCATGCTGGAAGGAAAACAAACGGCAGAGTCGCGGGTCCGGCACAATCCTCACGACCCCTGAAGGACCAGCGCGGAGAGCTTAGGCTCAGGTCTCGGAACCTGGATCTCCGTGTAGGGAAAAAGGGTCCTGACAACGCCAGCTCCAAAAAGGCCGCAGTCAGGTGCCTTAAAGCCCCAGGCCACTTCCTCCAACCCCAGTCCACCTTTGGGCGGGCCCTTTCCCACGCCCGTCGGGCCCCAATGGAGGGCGGGCATAGAGTAGTTCCCGAGGAGGTGCGAGCCTCCGGCCCACCTCTTGCAGAACCCACCCCCAACCTCAGAGCGCGGAGCCCGGGATCGATCAGCTCGGACGTCCCACTGACCTGGCCCGGGAGGGAACTCAGCCAGAAGCCGGAAGCGGCGTCTACGTCATCAGCCCGCGCCAGCGTAACGGCCCGCGGTATCCTAGCAACCGCTGGGCATCCCGACGATGTGGGGGCGCGGAACCGAGAGGCCGGGGGCGGGCTAGGCCTGCAGGTGCACGGGTCGCGGGACCCGGGCGAAGGTTCCCTACCTGGCCTTCAGTAGGGGTCAAGACGCAGGCGTCTGCGCCAAGTGGGGAGCAAAGCCGGGCTCGGCCCGAGTCCCCCAGGACCTCTATCTCCCAATGTCCGAGGTAGGAGGCCTTATACCTCCCGTGCGCTGGGTCCAGAATGCGCCCAACTATGGCCCATCCCTGAGGGCGGCCCGGGGAGGGGCCGGTGACCTTCCGGGCCCTGCTCACGAACCTCACTGCCAGTTTCTAGACAGGGGGTCTTAGTAACCTACCTGCTGTGTGACCTCGACCAAAGATGCTTACTTAGCCTGTTGGATCCTAGTTTTCTGTAGCTGTAAAAATACATGTAATAGTGCCTAATATTTAGTGCATGAACTGCGAGGCTAATTCAAATCCCAGCTAGACTAAACTAGTTGTGGGAGCTCAGGCAGTCTACCTGACATGTCTGTCCTTTAGTTTGTTCATCTGTAAAGTGGGAACGGTAACAGTGTTACATAACCCTCAGTAAGTGTCAGCAACAGGAATGATAGTTACTACTACTCCGCTCCTCACATCCCAGGCCTGGGACTATGAGGGCAGGAGGGTTGGAAATCCCCAAATTCAGCCTTGGCATCAAGCAGTTGTCACTGACATCTCTTGCCTAAATGGGCAAGGATAAGCTGGAGAGGGCGCACACTTCCAGAGAGGATGGGATGGCCGGGATGGCCAGGATGGGCTCTCCAGGAGAAGGGTTCAACTTGTGACCTGGTTTCCCCCTGCCATAGCTCTGATCACCATGAAGATTTTCCTATGGTTTCCCTTGGTACTGACCCTGTTTTCCTGTGTGTTCTGACATTCTGTCATGTAGATTTAATCTGCTCTGTGTCAGGCCCTGTGCTTGAAGCTGGGGGTCCCAGATGGACAAAGCACTCCTCACCTTCAGGGAGCTCAGTCTTAGTAGCGCAGTGCTTCTTGTGAGTGTCCCTGGGAATCTTGCTAAAATACAAATTCTGATGCTATAGGTCTGAGGTAGGACCCGAGATTCCGCATGTCTAACAGGCTCTCTGGTGACGCTGATGGAGCTGGTTCGCGGCTGCGCTTTGAGTAGCCAGATGTAGAGGACTGTTACACATTAGTAGAGTGGCAGGGAGCTGAAGGCTGGAGACCCAAGCCAGGCTAACCGCCTGGCAGCTTGAGGTGGTCTCCGCCCCCTTGCTCACTGAGGTTCCCTCCCAGGAATCTGACACGTGACCGTCGGACCTCCGGCTCAGAGAGAGGAGCCCTGTAAGCGCCATGGCTCCGGAGGCGGCGCCCCTCTTTCCCTCTCTGCTTCTGCTGCTCCTGTCGCTGCTGCCCCAGGTAAGACGAGAGGGTCGAACCACTCGGGCTGCGGTGAGGCGGGATCAGATCCGGCAGATGAGATGAAGTCAAATAACCCAAAGCCACGGGCAGGGCTAGTTCCATTTGCAAACGCGCAGCCCGCGCCCCGTCTCTGCCTTTGCAGGCAGACACTCGGTCGTTCGTAGTGGATCGGGAACATGACAGGTTCCTCCTGGACGGGGTCCCCTTCCGCTACGTGTCTGGCAGCCTGCACTACTTCCGGGTACCGCGGGTGCTTTGGGCAGATCGGCTTTACAAGATGCGGATGAGCGGCCTCAACGCCGTGCAGTTGTAAGAAGTGTTCCCTAGAGCCGCACAGGGGCGGGCCGCACCCTCCTACCTCTCCATTAGACAGGGGCTCGGCACTGGAAGGCTGACTGGTTTGCAGAGGGCCTAGTTAGAGCTCCAGGGCGCCTTGGCCAAGGGTGGGAAAGGGAGGGCCAGGACCTCCTTGGAACTGCTTCCGGATGACTCCCTACAAGGCCTGAACCCCTGGGCCTCCCTGACATCTCCCCACCTTGGGCCCTGTTAACCTCTTCCTTTCTCAGTTATGTGCCCTGGAACTACCATGAGCCAGAACCTGGGGTCTATAACTTTAATGGCAGCCGGGACCTCATTGCCTTTCTGAATGAGGCATCTGTAGCGGACCTGTTGGTCATACTGAGACCAGGACCTTACATCTGTGCAGAGTGGGAGATGGTGAGTTAGCTGGAGAAGGACAGAAGCAAAACCCCCTGTGTGGGGTTTCGAGCCTACTCTCATCTGCCCACACTTGAGGGCCTTTTCCTCCACCATACTCAACTCCCTCCCCTCCCACATTCCCCCTTGCACCCCCAAAACAACTCAACCCACGTGCTTTATTGTCTTTATGTGTGTCTCAGGGGGGTCTCCCGTCCTGGTTGCTTCGAAAACCTAATATTCATCTGAGAACCTCAGATCCAGGTGAGTTGAGCCAAAAAGATTTAGCAAACACTGAAAACATCAAAAATTGGATCATTTGGGTGCCAGAAACAGAATAGATCATCCCCGGATTGGGGGCCATTCCTTAAAGTTATTGTTTCCTTTGTAAGCTGCAGGATGCTTGAAACTGGTACCATGCAGACCCAGTCCTGTGCAATGCAGGTTAAACATAGTGAAGGAGACAACTTTTTTTTTTTTAAAGTCTATATGTGCAAGTATTGCAAGCTTAGTACAGCTTGCATACATGCATAGTACATACTATGCAAAAAAGTCAGTCGAAATAGTGAGTAGCAGACAAGGCCTCTTTTGGGTGGGGTGGTCAGAAGAAGCTTTTCCGTGGTGAACTTTGAGCTGACTGCCAGGGGAGAGAAAGCAGTGATCATGTAAGGAGTGAAGCAAGAACATTCCACGCAGAGGCAACAGTATATTTGATGGAAATAAAATGGCATGATTGGGCCGGCGCCGTGGCTCAACAGGCTAATCCTCCGCCTTGCAGCGCCGGCACACCAGGTTCTAGTCCCGGTCGGGGTGCCGGATTCTGTCCCAGTTGCCCCTCTTCCAGGCCAGCTCTCTGCTGTGGCCCGGGAATGCAGTGGACGATGGCCCATGTGCTTGGGCCCTGCACCCCATGAGAGACCAGGAGAAGCACCTGGCTCCTGGCTTTGGAAAGCGCGGTGCGCTGGCCGCAGCGGCCATTGGAGGGTGAACCAATGGCAAAAGGAAGACCTTTCTCTCTGTCTCTCTCTCTCACTGTCCACTCTGTCAAAAAAAAAAAAAAAGGCGTGATTGACGAACCAACAGTAGATCGAGATAGTGGGAATCTAGCAGGTAAGTGAGATAGTCAGACATGAAAACCGGAGATGAGACAGACAGCTGGCACAGGGTCTTAGAGACCATTGTAAAGTGTTTGTGTTTTGTTGCGAGTACAGTAGAAAGCCGGAACAACATCTAACCAGAGATGTGACATGATTTGATTTGTTTTGATATCACTAGCTGGGATGTAGAGAAAAGATTCAGGGGAGTAGGGATGGAGCTGGAGAAACCACTTGGGAGACCATTACTCTAGTGGAGGACAGAGATGATGGTAACAGAAATGGAAAGAAGGCAGAATTGGAATATGGCTTGGAGATTAAAAGCACCAGGATTTTTTGATAGATTTTGATTGGAAGGGGAGGGTTGGGGCTATATGAGTAAGGTTGAGAAAAGGAAATCAAGTTGCTGGTGAGTCAAGATGGTGCTATAGGGAGGGTAGAGAATAGTGGTGGTGGGTGAACAACTCTGGAAGAGAAAACGGACATTAAAGAAGCTTCAGATTGTGTAGTGTGGAACTTGCTGGAGTGCTCTGAGCTAGAAACATAAATATGAAAGCCATAAGTCTAAAGATGGTTTTGAGATAGCACTTGGGGAAAGAGCATAGAGAGAAGTAAAAAACGGTAACTCAAGATTAAACTCTAAGGGTGCCTAATATTTCAGTGTTTGGATTTCATTTTATGTGCAAATAGAAAGTCGTTAGAGCAAGGGAATGATCTTATGACTTATTCGTTTTAAAAAGGCCCCTCTGGCAAAATGCCTTATACCTGTGGAGGACCCTCTGGGTGCTATCTGTCTCACTTCATGGGGTGTTGGAGGGTGTTAGGCTACTCATTGCCCTTTCCAAACTTAGTTAACTATGCATTTAAAGTGGGGAGTTTGGATGGAGCAGCAACATACAGTCTCCAGTTTGCTGGAGAAAGCTGGCGACCTGCTCATCGCTGAATCCATGGTGTGCGCTCATCCTCCTTGATCAGCAGCAGCATTCAGTGTAGCTGGGACCTCTGTCCTCAGCTTCCCTGACACCTCACTCACCAGGCCCTGCCCCCACCCCGCCCCTGCCCCGCCCCGCAGTCTTTCTGACCACTCCGTCTCAGTCTCAGTCTCTTACTGGTACTGGGGGCTGTGCCAGGGTCCAGTCCTCGGATGTTTCTGTTTATTCTCATTCCTTAGGTGATCTCATCCATTTGTGTAATAGAATTAAAATCCACCTAATGGCTAATGATCCTGAAATATGTATCTCATGCATATAATTTATTACATAAGAACTCTATTTTACCTGTTCTTAAAAAAATTTTTTTTATTTATTTGAAAGGCAGAGTTAGAGATCTTCCATCCACTGTTTACTCCCACATGGGTAGCAGGGGCCCAAACATTTGCGCCATCTTCTGCTGCTTTCCCAGGCACATTTTGAGGGAGCTAGATTGGAAGTGGAGCAGCCAGGACTCAAACTAGCACCCATATGGGATGCTGGTGTTTCAGGCAGTGCCTTAACTTACTGTGTCACAACACCGGCCCCATCACCTTGTTCTTCTTTTAAGATCTATTTATTTATTTGAAAGTCAGAGAGCTACACAGAGAGAGAAGGAGAGGCAGAGAGAGAGGTCTTCCATCTGCTGGTTCACTCCCCAGTTGGCTGCAATGGCCAGAGCTGTGCCAATCCAAAGCCAGGAGCCAGAAGCTTCTTCCAGGTCTCCCACATGGGTGCAGGGGCCCAAGCACTTGGGCCATCTTCCACTGCTTTCCCAGGCCATAGTGGAGAGCTGGATCAGAAGTGGAGCGGCCGGGACTTGAACCGGCACCCGTATGGGATGCCAGCACTGCAGGTGGTGGCTTTACCCACATCGCAGGCCCCCTACCTTGTTCTAACATTTAAGGTTTTCTGTGTTCAAATTTCATTGACATGTAAGTATACAAGTGCTAAGGCTTGAAAGTTTCTTCTGAAAAGTCGCTGCTTCCCAGATTTAGGTGTGGGCAAGTGGGATGGAAATAGCAGCCCAGAATACAGGCAGCACTGAAGCTTCGGGCAGGTATGCTAGGGTGGGGCTGTGGAGGTCGTGGTGGCCCCCACTGAGCAGAGTACTGCTCCTTCCTTTAGATTTCCTTGCTGCAGTGGATTCCTGGTTCAAGGTCTTGCTGCCCAAGATATATCCATTTCTCTACCACAATGGGGGCAACATCATTAGCATTCAGGTATAAGTGGGAAGCTGACTGGGCAAAGGGAAGGAGATACAACGGGTCCTTAACCTTCTGCAGCTCTTAGCTGGGCTCTACTTTCTTTCCCTTGGCAGGTGGAAAATGAGTATGGTAGCTACAAGGCCTGTGACTTCCATTACATGAGGCACCTGGCGGGGCTCTTCCGCGCACTGCTAGGGGACAAGATTTTGCTCTTCACCACAGATGGGCCCGAAGGACTCAAATGCGGCTCCCTCCATGGACTCTACACCACCGTAGATTTTGGCCCAGGTCTCCTGATCGAGGGTTAGAAGTGCCATCCGGGGAAGGGCACCTCGCCCGTGCTATTTACCTTTTGCCTTTGCTCCTTTCTGCAGCTGACAACATGACCAGAATCTTCACTCTGCTTCGGAAGTACGAACCCCGTGGCCCACTGGTGAGGGGCCAGAGAGGAAGGAAACCTAAGCAAGAGCCAGGGCTGGGAACGCACCCTGTTTGCATCTCACTCACGGTTCCTTTCACTTCACACTCTAGGTGAACTCTGAGTACTACACAGGCTGGCTGGATTACTGGGGCCAGAACCACTCTACACGCTCTGTTCTAGCTGTAACCAAAGGCCTGGAAAACATGCTCAACTTGGGAGCCAGTGTCAACATGTAACTCAAGCTGCCGGGGCCAATATGAATCAGTAACGGGGTGTTGGGGCTGAAAGTCAAGACTCAGTATGTCAGCTGTTACCTTTCCCCTTGCACTCCCTCAGGTACATGTTCCATGGCGGCACCAACTTTGGATACTGGAATGGTGAGTCCAGATCTCTGGGGGTGAGAGCAGGAAGGTAAAAGCCACCTGCGGCCACCAGTTCCCACTCTGCTGGCAGTTTCCCACACAATGCTTTCTGACTGGCGCCTGTCATCCGAAAGCTACGTTAATTAAATTGGTTCAACCTCAGGCGCTGATGAGAAGGGCCGCTTCCTTCCGATTACCACCAGCTACGACTATGACGCGCCCATATCTGAAGCAGGAGACCCCACACCTAAGCTCTTTGCTCTTCGAAATGTCATCAGCAAGGTGCTACTACTTCATTAAGTCCCAAAGTCTTTTACTAATTTGGGGGGAGTACCCATGGATTGATGTTGGTAAAGCATTTCCGACTCAGCCAGCTGGGCCTATGTGGGGAGATACACACGAGTGTGTGAAAAACTAAAGGATCTTCATGACCTCTGAAGCCCTTTCCTGGGCCTCAAGCTAACAGCCCTGCTCTCGGGTCTTGGAGTAGGGGTTGTTTCTGTGGTTTGTCTATGGCTCCTGAGAGAATATGGGCTCAGTTCCAGGAAGTTCCCTTGGGACCTTTACCTCCACCGAGCCCCAAGATGACACTTGGACCTTTGACTCTCTATCTGGTGAGTTCCTTCTCCTATCCTTTATTTTGAATATAAACTCTATCCGGTCCTACCCTCTATCCAGAAACTTCCTTCCTACTCTGACTCTTTACCCTGTTCTAATAGGATGGGGAGTTGCTGGCTTTCCTAGATTTCCTGTGTCCTGAAGGGCCCATCCATTCAGTCTTGCCATTGAGCTTTGAGGCTGTCAGGCAGGTAAGGCATAAACCTGTGGCTGGTGGGGATGGCAACTTCCCTCAACAGCTGTAGTCAAAAGCAGCCTCCACCCACCCATTTTCTTCACAATCTTTCTTATCTCTAAGTTCACTTTAAGTACTCGTTCTTCTATATCCAGGACCACGGCTTCATGTTGTATCGGACCTATCTGACCCATACCATTTTTGAGCCAACACCACTCTGGGTGCCAAATAATGGAGTCCACGACCGTGCCTATGTTATGGTGGATGGGGTGAGAACCTAATTCCAGGCTAACTTGTGAGCCCCAATTTCCTCCTGCCCCCAGCACCCTTCCCCACCTGCCTGTTCATACTTCCAGAGTCCAGGGGAGGGATGAGGAAGTTTAGGAACAGAGATAACTGACACATGGCTACAGTCTCTCTGCCCTCCAAATTAGGTTTCCTAATGTGGCTTCCTCTGCGTGACCCAGAGCTGAATGCAGAGCCCTTCCTTTAAAAAAAAAAAAAAATTTTGAAAGGCAGGCAGAGAGGGGGACACAGAGCTCTTCTGTCCACTAGTTCACTCCCCAAATGGCCACAACAGCCAGGTCTGCACCAGGCCAAAAGCAGAAGCCAGGAATTCCATCCTGGTCTCCCTCATGGGTGGCTGGAGCCCAAGTACGCAGGCCATCCTCTGCTGCCTTTCCAAGCGCATGTGCAGGAAGCTGGGTCAGAAGCAGAGCAGCCAGGACTGAAACCGGCATTCCAGTACAGGACGCTGGCATTGCAAGCTGCGGCCCCTCCTTCCATAGAGCATTTCTCTGATCCACAGGTGTTCCAGGGTGTTTTAGAACGAAATATGAAACACCAGCTATTTTTGGTGGGGGAAATGGGGGCCAGACTGGATATCTTGCTGGAGAACATGGGGAGACTCAGTTTCGGATCTAACAGCAGTGACTTCAAGGTGAGCTTTGCCTGTCCCCTGCCTCAGTACTCTCATCAACCAACCCCTTTGAAAACAGGAGCCTAATGGAAGATAAACAGGTGCCATGTCTTTCAGAGTTAGGCAGAGAAGCAGTGGCTTGCTGGGGATCTAGACATGGCCACCAGTTACATCCAGGCTTGGTTAGGGTTAGTTTGGCCTAAGAGCACAGTGAATGATGACTTTTCATTTGCCTTTCCCACAGGGCCTGTTACAGCCACCAGTTCTGGGGCAAGTAATGCTTACCCAGTGGATGATGTTCCCTCTGAAAGTTGATAACCTTGTAAAGTGGTGGTTCCCCCTTCACTTACTGAAAAGCACAAAACCTCAAACTCCCTCTGGCCCCACCTTCTACTCTACAACGTTTCCAATTGCAGGCCCACTTGGGGACACATTCCTCTATCTCCCTGGATGGACCAAGGTATTGCTAATGTTCGTAGTCGGTGGTGGTGGTGGGTGGTACAAGACAAAGAAAGGACTCCTCAGAAGTCCGAAGGGGATGATTCCAACCCCCAGAGAACTGACTCTTTCCCCTCTCCTGCCTCCTCCCAGGGCCAAGTCTGGATCAATGGGTTTAACTTGGGCCGGTACTGGACAAAACAGGGGCCACAAGAGACCCTCTATGTGCCAAGACCCCTGCTGCTTCCTAGGGGAGCCATCAACAAAATTACATTGCTGGAGCTAGAAAACGTGCCGCCCGAGCCCCAGATCCAGTTTTTGGATTGGCCCATCCTCAACAGCACCGTGCACAGGACATACATCTACTCTCTCTCTGCTGAGGCACAGAGCGCCTCGGAACCAATGCAGTTAAGTGGGCACTGAAAGGAAAGGGAGCCCTTGGGCCTGGGACATGGAGCGGGCAGGATCCTTTGCTGGCCACAGTGACCACAAGGAGCCAAGGGCCAGAATGCCTCTGAGTGTGAGTACGAGTGCCGTTTCCTTGCCAAACTTTATTGTGATTAAAGTTCCAGAGACAGCAGCAGCTCCACACACCTCTGTGGCCCCGTCCTTGCCCTGGTCCCGAGTCCCTCCCCCTAATTCTCTGAATACTCTCTGGCTTCATGGGGAAGAAGAAACAGGGCTGATGTGAATATGCCCTCCCAGAGTTGGCCCCAGGTGGAGCTATAAGCCATCAGGAAGAGGGCTTCCCTGCCCGACTGCGATGATCCTGGAGGCAGCGTGTGGAGCAGAAAGAGAAGTCGAGGTAGTGAAAGGGAACGAGGCCTTGGAGGGATGCCCCACAGCTCCAACAGCGTCTGCACAAGAGGAAGAAAAACAGTTGCACAGGTAGCCTAGAACCTTCCAGGGCAGTCCAACCTCCCCCTGCCGTTTGTTTTTGCTCCAAAGATGCCCAGAACATCTAATTCCCTCAGCAACTCTTCTGCATGTCATGTAGGCACTCGCTGCGCTTGCCCTAAGTGGTCCCCGTGTGGGAGTCTGCCCACGCCCACCTGCCCAGGCGCTCAGCCCCCTGCCCCCTACCGGGCGTTGACAACCGCAGGGTCAGGAGTCGCAGGGCTAGGGGCTCCCAACTGCGCAGCGAGTCGGCGCTCTGCAGCCAGAGCTCTCTGAGAGAAAGCAGAGTCACGTTAAAGAGGAGGCCTCGTCGGGCACAGCGGCCGCAGGAAGCGTCAGCAGCACTCCGCGGGAGGGGTGGGGCCGGCAGGGAGGAGCATGGGGAGCAGCCCCTCCAGCCGCACCTTCTCTCGGTCGCTAAGGGCGGCGAATCGCAGCTGCTCTTCCCGCTCCCTCTGCTCCTCCGCCTGCCGCTGCCGCCGCTGGTCCTCCCGCTGCCGCCGGGCTGCCTTCTGCTCCCTCTTGCGGGCAGCCCGCTGGGCCTCCATCTCCGCAGTCAGCGGCCCCGGCACCTGGAGGATTTCCAGAAGGTACTAGATGAGACCCACAGAAGCCGTCCTTTGTCAAACCGCCAGGAAGCAGACACTCCAGCTGGGCTCTGCGAGGCCTTCCCATGCTGCACTTCCCTACCTGGGCCTTGTGGTAGTCACAGGCGTCCGGATTCTTCTCCATGAACCTTCGGAACTCATTACGCGTTGGTTTGTCAGCTGCTACAGCGTAAGGCGGCCGGGCCCGCGAATCCCTGTGTGCAAGAACCCAGAAAAACAGGTTCTGTTTGCCTCCTGCCTGGCCTAACATTGCCCAAGCAGATGGAGGGAATGCTGAAGAGTGGCCAATGCCAACATCTGCCTCCAGATTCTCTTCTCTTTGCTCAAAGCGGCTCAGGGCGGGGACCTTTACTTACTGCACAGAGGGGTCAGCACCTGCCTCCAGCAGCAGACGAACTACCGCGCCTCTGCCGGCAGCAGCTGCGGCATGCAGAAGAGTAGAGCCTCCGGGGCCCAAGGGGGCACTGAGCAGAGAGCTAACCGCAGGGTCTGCGGGGCCGGCAGCTAACTGCAGCGTCAGCAGTCCAACATCTCCCGCCCGGCAGGCAGCCAGAAGCCCAGCCCAGAGGTCTGGCTGACCAGGGGCCTTGGCTTCATCCGGCGAAGGCTCCCGGGAGGCTGACTGCAAGAGCCCATCCTCTTGAGGTTCCTGGAGAAGAGCCTCCTGGTCTCGACTTCTCTCCTTCTTATTCCTTTTTCTCCTCCTCCGCTTGGGCAACACCTCAAACTCGCGAAGATCCAAGGTCCCCAGTGTCAGCTCCACTAGTTCCAGCTCTACCTGGGAGCCATCCTCTTCCTCTGACCCTGAACCTGGGGGAAAGTCTGACATGTCAGATCCATCTAAGGGATGAGCAGAGGGTGGAAGGACATGGGCTGCCTCAGGTGCATAACAGTGTCTATAAAGAGATAATTCAGATCATCCTGAAATGAAATTGTTCTTCTTTTTCCCTGGACTCTCCCTGTGAGCAGCCTTAGGATGATGTACAGTAAAGTACAGAAGCAGCTCTTAGCGCAAACCCACCGCATCCAGTGAGACAGGTAGATGACAGGGGATTCAGGCAACACATGCAAGTGTCTACTCCATGCTAGGACTTCTTACAACTATGAACAAGAGAGGTAACAGACTTGGGAAGATTACTAAACATGTCTCAGTAATTGCTATGGCATACCCCATGTGACGGACAGACCCTGAGGTGGGTGGGTGTGTGCTGTGTAAGGACCTGTCTACAGACTGGGAGATGGGTCAGTTGACAATGGGGAACTTACACTACATTACCAGGACAGACACCCAGACAGACTTGACAATTGCCAAATGGTGCTCAAACCCTGTTTGGGAGACTCTCCGTTCTGTCCAAGTGCCTCGTTTTCATCCCCGGGGACCTTTCTTCTTTCTTTCTCAGTAGCCCCCTTCCTCTCGGCCCTTGCTGTCTTCCAGCGTGTTGGAGTTGAGGGCAATCCGACTGTTTCCCGAGGGTCTTCTCCTGTCATAACACAAAAGACCTTTCTCAAACACAGCTGAAGGGAATCCCACCCAGGCTTCTCAGTGAGGCTGTAATTGGGCTGCAGTCTGAGGGTTAGAATAGGGCTTGGGCTGAACAGTATTGGAAGGCCTAGGGAGTCTGGGCATCCAGAACCAAGGCTCACCGTGGACATGCAAGGTGGTCAGCTTCTGGAACACACGCTGTAGCTCTCGGAAGGTGGGTCTGCGGGTGGCGAGGGGGATGTCCCAAAGTCGGGGATCCCCCCTTTGCAAGGGAGCCCCATGGCCTCCGAAGAACAAGGACCGGCCAGAGCGAGGGGCGCGCAGCAGTATTGTGCCAGCCTCCCCCAGTGCCTTAGCCCAGTCTGGCCCTGCCAGCAGGTCACGAACGTCCTGGAAAAGAGAGACACTCAGCCCTGTGTATCTTCACGTGTTATTTTGAGACTCCAACCAAACATAAGAATTGGAAAAGGTACAGGAGTCAAACACCGACCCGCCGCCCCCAAGTGTAACATTTAGTGAAGGGAACTGAGAGGCAAAAAAGGAGGGCCACCAGACCTGGGGGCCTAACTCACCTTACACAGCGTGGCTTCATTGTAGCGCCTCAGGGTGGCTCCAGCGGACCGCGGTGCCCCACCCCGGGCATCCCGAAGGCCCTGGGCTGTGCCTCGCTTGGCCCGCACTGTGTAGCGGTGAAAGGTTTTATGTGTCACCACTTCTCCTCTATAAACGGCACAGACTCAGTACTGGAGACCAGCTGGTGCTCCCAGGCGAACAGGATCCTTTCCACCCTAACCCCACGCAGCACCCACTCACCCTTGAAAAACGGCCCCGGCAAAATGCCCTGCTGCAGCCATGAGGACCACGCAGTATCTGGGGCCCCCACTCTGCAGGTTTTTGAGCAGTAGTTCTGCCTCCTCTGGGGCCGCCTGGGTGACAGAGAAGCAGTAGAAACAGCTGTGTTGCATTCATTGAGAACAAGAAACCAACTGCCAGTGCTAAGTGCTCCACATACGTTCCCTCGTTTAATACAAGCATCCTGAGTCTGGTTTCTGTTTCACAAGGGAATCTGAAGCTTGACGGAGAGGTAGTCAGGGTCAAGTGGGAGAACCAGAGTTCAAGTTCAACCCAAGACCACACTGTCCAGGAGGATACCCACACCCACCAGGAAAGAAGGGCAGGGTTCACCACACAGCCTGTGCTGCCACTTGCCTGGCGAGGGCCTAGGACACAGCGGTAGGCATAAAGAAACTGGCCCTGGGCATTCTGGAAAAGAACCCGATGGGAGCAGAAGCCTGGGGGCCGGGTAGGCGTCTCCGAGTCAGCCCCCTCCTCATCTGGCGCCTGCAAGTCCTCCTCGCTGGCTGAGTCCGCGTCTTCTGAGCCCGAGATGCTGGAAAGATCTCCTGAGAACAGTGGACATGACATCTACACGTCTGCTACCCCAGCCCTGAGCTTCCTGCTCCCACCCGCCGTGTCCTGCTCACCTGTGGAACTCTGCTTCTCGAAGTCCAGGGCAGACAGGAGAGGCTTGTTCTTGAAACGTTGCTTTAGATTAAACCGATGCCAATCAAGCTTATAATGTTCCCTCTGATAGAAAAGCAAAGAGGGAGGCAGAAGATGGAAATATACCCAGCCAAGACGGGTAACACCAACTCCCTGAGCCAAAGCATAGAACTCAGCACAAATTCAATGTCTGCCTCTCCCCACCCACCACTCTAGTTTGCATCTAACAAGAATCTCTGCACCCCGGCCTTTTACCTGTTCCTGATGGCTCTGGAAGGTCTGGTTACAGGTCAAACAAACCAACTTCTCTGACACCTCCAGAGGACCCTGGGGTAATTTTCTTTCTGGGCTCGCTGTCCCCTGTGAACCTAAATAGGGAAGGGGATTGGGGGTAGGAAGGGAGGCAACTCCACAGGCCTAGGATTGCATTCAGCGTCCAACACACAAGGCAGACACAAAATGGCATGACTGCACTCTTAAGGAATTTTTAATCTAGTCATGAAATTAATGGCCCAGCAATAATATAAAGTATAATATACATAATGATGTATTAAATATAATATACTTATCTCTCAATATTTATTTCATATATTTCCATACCTGGAAAGATGCATGTAAAATGACTATAAATCAAATATTGTACTTAAATTAGCCAAAGAAAAATAATTTCTGGTAAGGTTACTTTGGAAATAAAATTATTTTTAACTGTACAAAAGCCACCTCTCAGATGTCATTTTTTAAGCTTACACTTCCAATTACACTGGGCAGTTTGTCTCAACAGAGGTACAAGAAAATATGTACAACTAATGTTGTATGAAAGCAATAATAAATGTTTTACATTCAGCCAAAAGGAATGATTTGATTGGAGTCCAGTTAAATCTGAAATACATCTAGGCATGTTAAAGTGTTTTTCAAGTGTAAGGGTAACGCGATGACACTTGAGCAATGGCAAGAGTCTTATGTGGAGACGTTTGAGGGGGGCTGTGCTGGAAACTCCCAGTGAATAAATCCAGCACCCACGCCGGGGAGTGCCAGGAAGCACGTGTGCCCGGAGAGCAAGCCCTCTCCGCCAGAGCCTCAGGAGTCCACCCCGAGCCTTCCCGGGTACCTGGACAGGAAGTAGGCAGAGCCTCCCCCGCAGCGTGGCTCACCAGGCTCACGCCTCGGAGGAGCGGCGCGTCCGCGCGGAGGTCCAGCAGGGAGACGGCCGCAGGGGCCGCAGCTGCAGCCGGAGCTGGCGACATAGCTGAGCGGGAACTGTTTGGAAGCCGCTCCTGGAACAGAACGAGGGAAAGAAACAGCTCGATCCAGCTGCCGCGTCTGCTGCCTGGCTGGCTGGGTCTCCGACGCCGCAAGGCACACCTCGGCCCTCCCACCTGCTATCGGCTCTGCGGTAAATCCTTGACACCACTCGGCTTTCTCAAACCCCTGGTCTCGGACCACCACCGAGTGAAATGGGGGAGCTCCCAATGCAGTCCAGCACATTTAAAATCACCGCTCGGCTTTCTCAAACCCCTGGTCTCGGACCACCACCGAGTGAAATGGGGGAACTCCCAATGCAGTCCAGCACATTTAAAATCACCGCGGTTGCCTAGCCGATCACGCTCCGTTCCCCGTGCTACAAGCCCCGGCAATGACCGACCGCGTAGACGCGTCCCCGCCCTCTGAAGCCATACCAAATGTCCCGGGAGCCCGGCGTACGCACGTCTCCAGTTCGAAAGCCGGATTCCGTAACACCACAACAATACCGTCACTACGGAGCAGCGAAGAGGACAAACCGCGGCGCCCGCACCTGAGCCCCGCCCCACGTAGAGCACCGCATTGGTCCTCTGATTGTCCAAGAACCGCCTCTAGCCTTTAGTCCCGCCCCCGGAGCCGAGAATTGGCCGTCGTGTCTCCACCCCCTATGTTCATTGGCCAGGCCGGCTGCGGGTGACAGTGAGTAGCAGAAGCCGGGCCTAGCGCTCCGGATCAGGCCGAGCTGGGCCGAACAGAGAGAGCCCAGGAATCGCTCGGGTCGCGGTTCCTGAGGTGACACGCGAGACCGGTTATTGAAATTCTAAGGCCCGGGCTGGGCCTGGCCTGGGGGGCCTGAGGAGCCCTAGGTGAGCTCGCGGCGGGTAACGGGGGAAGGGGCGCCGCGGGCGGGGTGGGGGCGCGCAGCCGAAATGTTTTGATAGCGGGCGCGCGCGCTGGGGGGCGCGCGTGGGCGGCGGGGCCGCGCTCGAGGTTGGCCGCTGTTGGGAACCGAGCCCTGGGCCCGGGGCCGGGCCACCCTGGGGCTCGCTGGGCTCGGGTCTCGGCGGCTGGGTGTAGGGAGGCAGCCCAGCCCGTCCAGGGTATCAGCTGTAGGACCGCCTCGATCCCCCCATCATCGGCCGGAACCCCCGAGCCCAGGCCCTGCCTGCCGGGGCTCCATGGGCCCTGGGTCTACACTGACCCAGTGAGTGGTAAGTTTCCTGAAGAGCAGGGCTCTTACTAACCCAGGGACTCCCACCGAGGCCAGGCTGAGCCAGGATCCCCAGTCCCCAGGGCCCACCCTCACTGGGTAAGTACCACCTCGCCCCTGCCCGGCTCCAGGATCCTATGAGCTCACAGATTCACCCAGGATCTGGAGTGTCCACTGAGTCAGGACTTCCTGTCCAGCTCTGCCCGCCTGCTGAATCTTTGGTGCTGTGGACACAGGGGAATGGGGTGACCAGTGAGGTCCTCTTCAGAAGACTTCCCTGGGGGGTGTGGGCCCCGAGAAGCAGGTCTTGATCGCCAAAGCCAAGGTCAGGCAATGGAGGAGCAGTCCAGGGGGGCTGCTTGGCCTCAGAGCGGTAATGACTCAGTCTCTACAGGGTCAGTGACTTTCTCTCTGGGGTCCTGGAGCTGAATGAGTGGCCCTGTTTAGTATAGCCGGACGAAGTGCCCCTAGCCCTGGGCTGGAAGGGTGCCTCTTCCCCGGCTGCAGGCTTCCTGCCCAGGTTTGGCCTCCTCTTGGTGGGGCTTGGGTGGGGGGAAAGGTTGGGTTCCTTTCTGGCCCCTCTCCCCACCCTCTGGGGCCTGATGCCTTCTCCTCCAGCAGCGGCAGAGCCAGGGCATCGAGGGCTGGAGTGGAGCAGACACTGTCCATGGAGCTGGTAGGGCCATGTGCTTATCTCAAACCTTTGCTTACAGAATGCTTCCAAACTGCTAGTTTCTGGGGAAACCAGGCTTTCAGAAGGGGTAAAGGGAGGGACCCTCCTCTCCACTGACTAGAAGATGAAACAGCCCCCACCCCACAGCCCTCGCCCCCCCCCCCCCAACACCAGGGGCAAATGCTGAATTCAGATCAGAAAGGCACTGTAGGCACCCAGTGAAGACTCTGGGAATGGCTGGCCAGAGCTAAGGCCTCCAACGCCCTAAACTTACTGTTCGCTTGGGTTTCTTCCCTTCTTCTGCCTCTGAGCCGCTGAGGGTGGTATAGAAACAAAGCGCAAGGAGTCTCTCTTCTTCTGGCCTGGGAGGCAGGGTAGCATGCAGGGGCACCTGGGTCTGAATCAGGGTCTCTTCTTCCTTGTCACTGGCAGGTGGACCGGGTGGCCAGGGGGCGGCGGTGATGGCGCAGTTTGACACGGAATACCAGCGCCTAGAGGCCTCCTACAGCGACTCACCCCCTGGGGAGGAGGACCTGCTGGTGCACGTTGCTGAGGGGAGCAAGTGTGAGTCCTGGGGCGCGGCAGCCAGAGCCGGGGCATGGGAGAAAGCTGAGGGAGCACTGGGGGAACGAGGGGCTTGGGTTGCTTCAGGTCCCTGACATCTGTGCTCCTGTGTCCACAGCCCCTTGGCACCACATTGAAAACCTTGACCTCTTCTTCTCTCGAATATCCTTTGTGTCTCTGTGCCGGGGCCCTTTAGCCTCTCCCTAAGTCAGGTCCCTGATGGGAGGCCACGGTGGGTTTCACTCTGATCTCTGGAAGAGGAAATGGAGCTCATCCTGAGGCTGGTGAAATAATGACCGTGAAAAATAATGATGCGGCCGGCACCTCGGCTCACTAGGCTAATCCTCTGCCTGTGGCACCGGCACACCGGGTTCTAGTCCCGGTCGGGGTGCCGGATTCTGTCCCGGTTGCCCCCTTCCAGGCCAGCTCTCTGCTGTGGCCAGGGAGTGCAGTGGAGGATGGCCCAAGTGCTTGGGCCTTGCACCCCATGGGAGACCAGGAGAAGCACCTGGCTCCTGCCTTCGGATCAGCACGATGTGTGCCGGCCACGGCGGCCATTGGAGGGTGAACCAATGGCAAAGGAAGACCTTTCTCTCTGTCTCTCTCTCTCACTGTCCACTCTTCCTGTCAAAAAAAATTAATTAATTAAAATTAAAAAATAATTAAAAATAATGATGCCCCACGTTTACCGAGAGCTACTGCCCGCGTGCACTTTGTGGTGTTCATTTATAAGGGAACTAAGAGTGAGCCTCCTGTTTGATGAGATGTTAATAATCGTGATAATTAATGTCTTTTGACTCATTCAGTGTCTCTTCTGTGTTAGATATTTTACGTGTGTTATTTCAGACCTAATAATCTGATGAGACAGGTGTAATCATTCCTAAGCTACCACTATGGACAAAAGCTTAGAGGTGAAGGAACTTGGGCAAAGCCACACAGCTGGAAAGTCACAGAATGAGGACTTAAGCTCAGCTATGACATCAAACCCTGTGCTCTTAATGCTGCCTTTGCTGGTCATTTCTTCTTAACAATTGCACGTTTATAATCTACACCAGAAGAATGGCTTCACGTGTATGCTCATTGGGGAGGTATTCGAGCTCATGTAAGTACAAGACAGTGTAGCAGAGGAACCCATCTCCTTGTCCTCACCCCGGCCCCACTTGCCAGCTCAGTCCCAGGTTCAAAACTCTGCAGACCTTTGTAGTTTTGGAACTGGGTGTGGCACCATAACGGACAGCCCCAGTTTCTTATTAAATGAGCTTTCCCAATACCGGCTCTCCCATAAGGAGAACTCAGTCCGAGCTCCGGGGGAATGCCCGGACTTCAATCAGGTGGGCCCCGAGATGCCAGCTGCTGACTTCAGGAAAATGCTTCCGTCCCAGCTGCTGGGTGGAGCCTTCCAGGAGGGAGGAGCCACATGGTGCTGCCAAAGAGGAAAGGGGCTGGGAAGCCTCCTTCAGTAAGAAGAGTGCAGACCCCCAAGGGGAGTGCTCAAAAGGCAACCGGGGCTGCAGCTCAGAACCACGAGGGTGAAACCTGTGAGAGAGTACAGGGGCCATGGCAGAGATGGCCGTGCAGTGAGAAAAGCAGGTGCCTGGGGCTGAGAGCGGAAAACAGGAGCTGATTCGGGCCTGAGAAGGCCCCATGAGGTTTGGCAGTAGCCAGGGTCCATGAAGAGTTCTCCAGCCCCTTCCTTGTCCCCAGTCTGCTGCCACCCTCCTCTGTTGCCCTACTTTATTTCACTGATGTGCCTGAGTCTCTCTTCCCAACTCCCCAGGCAGTTCCTTTTTGTGGTTGCCTTCACTACCTTCCTGGTCAGCTGTGTGGACTATGACATCCTATTTGCCAACAAGATGGTGAACCACAGTCTTCACCCTACCGAGCCTATCAAAGTCACTCTGCCAGATGCTTTTTTACCTGCCCAAGTCTGCAGTGCCAGGTAAGGGCTAAGGTCAGAGGAACACCAACACCTGTGATTCTGCCAGCAGGTGGGTGGGGGTGGAGCCTGAGGTTGGCACCCATACCCCAGCACCCAAGCTTGGGCTTAGCCTGGCAGAGAGCAGCATGTCCGCCAAGATTGCTCCCTTGAGGGCCTCCCCGCCTCTCCTTTTCCACACCAGGATTCAGGAAAACGGCTCCCTTATCACCATCCTGGTCATTGCTGGTGTCTTCTGGATCCACCGACTTATCAAGTTCATCTACAACATTTGCTGCTACTGGGAGATCCACTCCTTCTACCTGCATGCCCTGCGTATCCCCATGGTAAGGCTGGGGAGGGGGGAAGTTAGCGCCACAGCCTCAGGTGTCTTGGGGGTATTCCTGGACATCAGGTGTCCTTGCCTGTCACTGGCGAGTCTAAGCGCACGACCCCCTAAGTCTCACACCTAAAGCTGGGCACAGGGTCGCGACGACAAGCCCACCTTCCACACCTTGTCGTTTGTCCCCTCCACCCTGCAGTCTGCCCTGCCGTACTGCACGTGGCAGGAAGTGCAGGCCCGCATCGTGCAGACCCAGAAGGAGCACCAGATCTGCATCCACAAGCGTGAGCTCACCGAGCTGGACATCTACCACCGCATCCTCCGCTTCCAGAACTACATGGTGGCCCTGGTGAACAAATCCCTCCTGCCCCTGCGCTTCCGCCTGCCCGGCCTCGGGGAGGCCGTGTTCTTCACCCGCGGCCTCAAGTACAACTTTGAGCTGATCCTCTTCTGGGGCCCCGGCTCTCTCTTTCTCAATGAATGGAGCCTCAAGGCTGAGTACAAACGTGGAGGGCAAAGGCTAGAACTGGCCCAGCGCCTCAGCAACCGCATCCTGTGGATTGGCATCGCCAACTTCCTGCTGTGCCCCCTCATCCTCATCTGGCAGATCCTCTACGCCTTCTTCAGCTATGCCGAGGTGCTGAAGCGGGAGCCCGGGGCCCTGGGAGCCCGCTGCTGGTCGCTCTATGGCCGCTGCTACCTCCGCCACTTCAACGAGCTGGAGCACGAGCTGCAGTCACGCCTCAACCGCGGCTACAAGCCCGCCTCCAAGTACATGAATTGCTTCCTGTCTCCGCTGCTGACCCTGCTCGCCAAGAACGGCGCCTTCTTCGCCGGCTCCATCCTGGCTGTGCTTATCGCCCTCACCATCTACGACGAGGACGTGCTGGCTGTGGAGCATGTCCTGACCACCGTCACGCTCCTGGGGGTCACGGTGACCGTGTGCAGGTGGGCAGGGCAAGCAGGTGGGAGCAAGCAGGCTCGCAGGCCAAGGGGAGGCTTCAGCCCCTCACCAGGACCCCGATCCCACCAGGTCCTTTATCCCGGACCAGCACATGGTGTTCTGCCCTGAGCAGCTGCTCCGCGTGATCCTCGCTCACATCCACTACATGCCTGACCACTGGCAGGGTAATGCCCACCGCTCGCAGACCCGGGACGAGTTTGCCCAGCTCTTCCAGTACAAGGCAGTGAGTGGAGTTGGAGTTAGGGCCTGCTAGAGACCGGCTGGTAGCTCGGTGGTGAGGGCCGCGCTCCCTCTGCCCTCCGTGACCTTGCCCCCTACCCTTTAGGTGTTCATCCTGGAGGAGCTGCTGAGCCCCATCGTCACACCCCTCATCCTCATCTTCTGCCTGCGCCCACGGGCCCTGGAGATCATAGACTTCTTCCGCAACTTCACCGTGGAGGTCGTCGGCGTTGGCGATACCTGCTCCTTTGCTCAGATGGATGTTCGCCAGCACGGGCACCCGCAGGTACTGGCGGAGACTGGAGACAGGGGACCAGGGATGCTGCTGCCCTCAACAGCGTCTCTGGGCAAAGTACAAAACGGCACCCCTTCTGAGCCCACAAGCCACAGGAAGGCAGCCCTGCCCCAGGGACACACTGCTGGTAACCAGGAGCCTGGGCTGGATTTCAGCCCTAATGTGCGCGACGGGCCACGCTCCCTTGAGAAAAGCACAGTGCAAGCAACGAACCCTGGCATGTGGCTGGCTGCTGGTGGGGTGGGCACCGGGGCACATACGGCGACACACTGCGGTCTCTGTCCTCCGGGGCAGGGCTCCCTGCTGCGAGAAAGGTGCACGCGGGGTCCCTGTAAGAGGGCAGTCCTGCTTACCGCGGTCGGTCTCTCTTGCGCAGTGGCTGTCTGGTGGGCAGACAGAGGCCTCGGTGTACCAGCAAGCCGAGGATGGGAAGACAGAGCTGTCCCTCATGCACTTTGCCATCACCAACCCTGGCTGGCAGCCACCACGTGAGAGCACAGCCTTCCTGGGCTTCCTCAAGGAGCAGGTGCAGCGGGACGGAGCCGCCGCCAGCCTTGCCCAAGGGGGTCTGCTCCCTGAAAATGCGCTCTTCACGTCCATCCAGTCCTTACAGTCAGAGTCCGAGGTGTGTCGCAGAGCTGGGCAGGGAACTGAGGACCAGGCGTGGGGTGGAAGGCGTCTTCCTGGGTGTCCCGTTGGGTCCTGAGGCGCCGAACACCAGGGCATCCCAAGGTCTCTCTCCTGCCCTGAGAATTCTACTCTCCCCTTTTCTTTCATAGCCCCTGAGCCTTATTGCAAACGTGGTGGCCGGCTCATCCTGCCGGGGCCCCCCACTGCCCAGGGACCTGCAGGGCTCCAGGCACCGGGCTGAGGTTGCTTCTGCCCTTCGCTCCTTCTCCCCTCTGCAGCCCGGGCAGGGCCCCACAGGCCGGGCTCCTAGCACCATGACGGGCTCTGGGTGAGTAGAGGTGGGCCAAGGCGGGAGGGCAGGGCAGCAGCCCCCTGCAGCTGGCATGGGTCTCAGAGGTGCTGACGTCCGCTGTGTGTCTCTGCCGGGAGGCACAGGGTGGACGCCAGGACAGCCAGCTCCGGGAGCAGCGTGTGGGAAGGACAGCTGCAGAGCTTGGTGCTGTCTGAATACGCGTCCACCGAGATGAGCCTGCACGCCCTCTACATGCACCAGGTGAGTGGGCAGCTGGGACGTGGAGGGGGGCTTAGAGGCAGACAAGCAGAGCCTGGGTTCCAGCAGGTTCCACCTGCTCTGTGACCTACAATCTCTTAGTGGCTTCCAGCCAGGGATGCTCACATTGAGGGCCCGCACCCCGCCGAGGTCTTCCCCGCCTAGAATCCCCCTCCCCAAGCTGCCCCGATGACTGCCTCGTCTTCTTCCTCAGACCTCTGCTGTTACCTCTGCCCTCCCTCAGCCAGAGCCTCCTTGGCCAGAATCCTCCTCTTCTGTTTCTCTCCAGAGCATTGGCACCATCTGATGTGCCGCCTGCCTTCCTTGTTTCTTTGGTTATGGTCTGTCCTCCTCCAGCCACCAGCAACAGCCTGGGAGCCCCACAAGGGCAAGCACTGTGGTCTGTTTTGTGCACCACTATGTCCCCAGGACCTGTCTGGCACTCTGACCCTCAGCGTGCTCTTGAATCACCTGGATAGGTAACACGAGGGCCACTGCAGCCTATATACAGGTTTTGCCAGGGATCTGCTGAGAACGTAAGCCACGTGAGTTAGATTTGTTGCACGCCATTAACAGGGCAGGTGACCTGGGTCAAAGATTCTAGGTGAGGCAGTAGCAGCGGAAACTGGCCGACACCGGGGTGGGGGCCAGCTGTTTCAGACAAACAGCCTGTCCCCAACCCAGGAGCCCCTCTCTTTCCCAGCTCCACAAGCAGCAGACCCAGGCTGAACCTGAGCGGCATGTGTGGCACCGCCGGGAGAGTGATGAGAGTGGGGAGAGTGCCCCAGAGGAAGCAGGGGAGGGGGCCCGGGCGCCCCAACCCATCCCCCGCTCTGCCAGCTACCCCTGTGCCGCAACCCGGCCCGGAGCACCCGAGACCACTGCCCTGCATGGGGGCTTCCAGAGGCGCTACGGAGGCATCACAGGTATCCAGTGGGTCCTGGGGAAAGAGCAGTTAGAGGAGGGTGGTTCTTGAGACCCCCCAAAAGGAGGCTGGCCCCCGCGCCCCCAGCACCCCCCCAGACCCTTCTCATTCCTGTCTGTGCCCCTTGTCTCTCCAGATCCTGGCACGGTGCCCCGGGCTCCTTCTCACTTCTCTCGGCTGCCCCTTGGAGGGTGGGCTGAAGACGGGCAGTCGGCATCCAGGCACCCTGAGCCCGTGCCCGAGGAAGGCTCGGAGGATGAGCTTCCGCCGCAGGTGCACAAGGTAAAGGCTTCTGGAAGAACGGCTGAGCACCGCAGGGTAGCGGCTTGCAGGCTGAGGGAGCCGCGCCCGGGGGAAGTAAGGTGCCCCACCACCCACAAAGCGCACGCCCGTTCCCTCCGCGGCCAGCTCCGCCATCCGGGGCTGGACTCTCCACTAGCCTCCCTAAGAATCACCTCCTTTCCCTGTCTTTGCTTTTTTTTTTTTTTCTTCCTAACCCAGATTTATTTCTTTCTCCTGCCATTGCCAAACACTCCCCAAGTCTTAACTCGCCAGAAATGAACGTAGCTTCCTCATCTCTCCTCCCTGACAACCTGCATCTGTGGACAGGGCTCTGAGGGGTAACTGCCAATGAAAACGCAGAGTGGACACACCATGCCCTGCACTTGTTCCCAAACTCCCCACGCAGGTGGTACCCAGTGCGGGCGTGGGCGCTCCCTGTTGGAAAGTGGTCGTTGCAGAAGCCCGCATTTTAATGCTATTTGGAGGAGCCCCGAGAACAGAGCATGGGCAGGTGGTAATAGCCTTTTAGAATTTACGAAGGTTGTACTTGGCTGCATCAGGGTTAACTGCTTATATGGCATATGCCACGGAATAAGAACAGGTAAGACCAAGAATTTACGGAACAGGGGAAGAGAATCCGGAAACACGACAACAAAGCCGCCCTCAGGCGGAAGCAGCCCCCTGAACACTGCCAGGCAGAGGTACAGAAAGAATTCTTCTTTCTAGCTCCAGATAACTATCTGCACCTTGGTGTCACAGTCGCAGGACACAAGGAGGATGGGACTCATGCATCCTTTTCCTTTATTTCTGGGTTTCCATGGGACACGCGGACTGCCGAGGGCTGCTCTCCATTACCATCGGTCTTCTCTCCTCAGGTATAGACAAAGCCGAGGAAGGTCCCTGTGCCCCAGGATGGAGGCCACTGCTGCCCTGCGGTCCCATCCGCCTGCCACGGGAAGTCCTCTGAGTGTTGCCTGGCTCCACGTGTGTGGTGTTTGTGTGTCCGTGCCTGGCCAAGGGAGGTGCCAACGGTGGGCCTGCCACAGCCCCAGGAGAGGAAGTTGGGGCCTAGGAACCAGGGGCACGCGCGAGTCTAGCCTCAGCCCCGGGACCCCCTTGGCTCAGAGTGTGGTGCTAGAAACTGGTCCCCAGCCCCAGTACTGCCACCTTTGCACCCACCCCCGCAAGTCTCCAGGGAGCTGCCCACCACAGAAGCTGCCAACCAGGGCGAAGCTGTGCCAACTGTGGAGCAGGGCGCCCCACCCTGCGTAGATGAGCAGCTCAGGCTGTGGCCCTTACCTCACCCCAGTTCTCGCCCAGTGCTGCAGCCAGCTCACCTCTCTTGCTTCCTGCACATCACGGCATGTGTGTGCTGCTTGCTCCCCTCTGTTCGCCCGTCGCCGTTGGGGTGGAGGCCCTAGCTCCAGCTCCCCTCTCACCACCTTTGACACTAAGAAGGAAGGCTTCCAAATCGCAGGAGCACGATGGGAATTCCTTGCTGCCCTCTCCAACTTCCAGGATGGGCCCCTGGGAGACCGAGGCCTTCCTGGGCCCCCAATGCTGCTTGCCGTGCCCCTCGCCACCCGCACGTGGGATGGACAGGGCTAGAGCGCCACCTCGGCTGTCTACAACCCAGCAGGAAAAGCTCTGGCCCACATCCCGCAGTCATCTCGCAGGGGATGCAGGGGCGTCGCCCAGGCTTTGGGCTACCGCGTTGCATGCTGGGACTCAGCTCCTACCCTCTGACCTACTCCCTGTCCAGCCCTGGTGCACTGAGGGGACAGTGAACTGCGAGTGGGGTGGGAACCGTGTACAGCTTGATAACCCTCAATAAAGAAGGGACTTTGACCGGGTCGCACGGCTTTTTGAGTCACTCAGGACCTTGGGAGTGAGAGTGGGGTGCATGTGAGTCCCTCCAGGTGCCTGGGGATGGGGCAGGAATCCAGGAAAATAGGAGCATGCCAGCTCCTGGGCATACCAAGCGGCCAGCTGGTGCAAGGCCATCTCCGACCCCCGCTTCAGTGGAGGTGGAAGTCCCTGGCCGGTCTTGCGGTTGGATTTCCCGCCCCGAGCACGTGACCAAGCCGGCTCAGCCCCTCAAGCCGGCCTTCCTCACGTGCGGGATTCTCCCGCCCCCTTGGAGACATTCGGCCAATGGGGACCCTGAGTAGGGGCTGGGGCGGGCCTGGCGGGCGGGGCGGCCAGCGTAGAGGGCAGAGCAAGTCGAACGCCGAACATTCATTCCTGCGGGCCTGGATTTGGCCGGAGGGGCCCGGGCCGCGAGCGAGGGGGGAAAAATCGGAGGCGGCGTACGTGCCGTGCGTGGGTGCGTGACGGCGGCGCGTGCGCGAGGCGAGTGGGCGGTGTGGCCGGGTCCACGTGCGTTCCTCCTCGCGACCCCAGCGGCTTAGGGCCCGGCGGATCTATGACCCGAGGCACGCTGGCATCCGTGCCCTTCCCAGAGCCACCGGTCCCTGTCTCCGGTCCCTCAGCGCTCGCCGTCTCTGCCTGCTGCCACGCCTGACCATGGTGGCTGTAGGCAACTACTGCGAGGCCGAAGGGCCCGTGGGTCCGGCCTGGGCGCAGGACGGCCTGAGTCCCTGCTTCTTCTTCACGCTCGTGCCCTCCACGCTGCTGGCCCTGGGGGCTCTGGCCTTGGTGCTGGCCCTTCCCTGCAAGCGCCGGGAGCGGCCCGCCGGCGCTGACGCGCTGTCCTGGGGCGCCGGCCCTCGCGTTGCTCCTTACATATTTCAGCTGCTGCTGGCCACGCTCCAGGTGGCGCTGCCCCTGGCCGGCCTTTTTGGCCGGATGGGTACAGCCCGGGGGGCCCCGCTGCCAAGCTATGTACTGCTAGCCTCCATACTGCAAAGTGTGGCCAGCGCCTGTGGCCTGTGGCTGCTTGTGGTGGAACGGAGCCAGGCACGGCACAGTCTGGCCATGGGCATCTGGATCAAGTTCAGGCACAGCCCGGGTCTCCTGCTCCTCTGGTCTGTGGCGTTTGCTGCTGAGAACTTGGCTCTGGTGTCTTGGAACAGCCCGCAGTGGTGGTGGGCAAGGGCGAACTTGGACCAGCAGGTGAGAGGCCTCGCGGGGTGAGGGGAGGCACTGAGGGCAGGGCTGGGGAAGAATAGTGCATGTCCGTTTGTCCCGGTTCTCCAAGAAAAGGAAGAAGGGTGGGGCTGTCACCAGCTGGTGGGGCGGGTGTGTGCTGAGTCACTGTAGGTGGTATGTGTTTATTTTTGTTTGGTTGGTTTTTTTTTTTTTAAGCCTGTTAGGAGTTGGGCCCCTGAGGACTTCAAGTACTCAAGTCTCTGAATACTGTACGGTGGGATTTGGGCCCTCGATGATCTCCTACCCACACTTGTTTGATTCTAGGTTCAGTTTGGCCTGTGGGTACTACGGTATGTGGTGTCCGGAGGACTGTTTGTCCTGGGGCTGTGGGCCCCCGGACTCCGTCCCCTGTCCTACACCTTGCAAGTTCATGATGAGGACCAAGACACAGAAAGGAGCCAGGTAAGCCTCAGTTTGAGTCCTGGCCTCTGTTCACTTCACCGCCTGTCATCTTTCCTTCCCCGCACCGTGATGACTTCCCTGTCCAAGCTCAGTTTGTGACCTGTTAGAGCTCCCCGGTGGGTTTGAAGGGTCACAGCTGGAGCACCACGCATTCTTCCCTAGAGGGGTCCCGGCTGGTGCACCTCCGCCCTTCCGAGCGCCCTTCCCCTGTGTCTCTCATCATGCCAGGTTCGGTCCACAGACCAGCAGTCTACCTGGCGAGACCTCGGCAGGAAGCTGCGCCTACTGAGTGGCTACCTGTGGCCTCGAGGGAGCCCCGCTCTGCAGCTGGTTGTGCTGATCTGTCTGGGGCTCATGGGCTTGGACCGGGCACTCAATGTGTTGGTCCCCATCTTCTATAGGGACATTGGTGAGCGGCAGGAGGGGGCCAGCTCAGCCCGCTGGAGGCTGAGGCGCCCTTCCCTAGGGAGTGGGACGGAGAGTGGGGCAGTCAGAAAGAGGCTGTGGCTGAAGCCCGAAGAGAATCCTGGGGGCAGTAGGCAGACTCTGACTCGTGTTCTCCACAGTGAACTTGCTGACCAACAAGGCCCCTTGGAGCTCCCTGACCTGGACGGTCATCACCTACGTCTTTCTCAAGTTCCTCCAGGGGGGTGGCACCGGCAGTACAGGTACGAGGGACAGCAGTCACCCTGCTTGGCCTCGGGCCCCCTCTCTCGGGCATCGCCGTCGTCCTTTGCAGGCGTTCCTCCCCCAGGCATCTCCATGCCCTTAGAGCTTTCTCATCCAAGTGCCGGGCCACTGGTCTCTGGGTCTCTCAGCCCCCCTGCCCCCGCTGAGGCCTCCCCTGACTTCCCCCAGGCTTCGTGAGCAACCTGCGCACCTTCCTGTGGATCCGCGTGCAGCAGTTCACCTCGCGGCGGGTGGAGCTGCACCTCTTCTCCCACCTGCACGAGCTCTCGCTGCGCTGGCACCTGGCGCGCCGCACAGGGGAGGTGCTGCGAATCGTGGACCGGGGCACGTCCAGTGTCACTGGGCTGCTCAGGTACAGTGCCGGTGGGGGCGGGAGGGGTGGGGCTTACTGTCAGGAGAAGCAGCATAGACCCAGCCTAAGCAGCTGCCCCCCAAGCCTTGTTTTTTTTTTTTTTCCCCCTTTAATTATAGGATTAGCGTTCCTAGGCTGTCATAACAACTCAGGTACCCACAGACTGAACAAACCTCTTTTGAACTCAACTCACTTCTGAGCTGCCCAACCTGTTTAGCGTGTTGAGTTCTGCCTTTTCGCATTTTTACAGAGATCTGTGCAGAAGCGCAGGACTGATGGGATGTTGGGGTGGCTGTCCCTAAAAGAGAATGATGCTGTGACATAGGTGTTGGCCCAGAGTTGCTCCAGCAAAGGACCTTGTGGAGCTTGGGTTTCCTCCGTGCCCGGGGATTTCCCTCGTTTGTTACACCTGATGCTGAGAAACCTGCAGTTTGGGCGTGCTCTGGTTTACTTAGCCATCCACCTGTTGAGTGGTATTTAGATCAATTCCAACTTGCTGCTGATTTTTGTCAAAGACGAAACACTACACGAAGCTCCTGGAGGTAGGGTTGCTGGAGCTAAGCCCTCAAACCCTTCTCTGCTTGACTCGCCCTCTCAGCTACCTGGTGTTCAACATCTTACCCACGCTGGCGGACATCATCATTGGCATCATCTACTTCAGCATGTTCTTCAACGCCTGGTTTGGCCTCATCGTGTTCCTGTGCATGAGCCTCTACCTCTGTGAGTGCCCCCCTGAACTCCAGAGGGGCTCCCGTAGGCAGGAACCCCGCTCCACCCGGCTGCCCCACCTGCGAGGCTGCAGATCTGTGAGCCTGAAGAGGCACCTGCTGATCCCCCTGTGACGAGAGGGTCTCGTCCTGTGTCAGGTCGAATCTTGGCTTAACCTGGATGGAGGGTCAGGGCAGGGCATCCTTGTCACGTTAAGTCCCCGCTGTGGCTGCAGGGCGGGAAGGAACCTCATTTGCATAGGAAGCCGTGGCTCCCCTTGGTTGGTTTGTTCGCCAAAGACTTTCTGTACCCACGTGGCTTTGTGTCGATGTCTCGGGCACGGCCTGTTCTCCCAGCGAGCTTAAGGCTGAGTCCCTGGGCCCTAGTGGAGGCTTAGCTTGTGTATGGCAGGGAGTGGACAGTCACTCTGGCCTCCGCTGTCAGGAATGGGGTCTTACTCTGCCCCCTCCTGTCAACTTTCCACCAGTCCTGACCATTGTGGTCACTGAATGGAGAGCCAAGTTCCGGCGTAGTATGAACACACAGGAGAACGCCACCCGCGCACGTGCAGTGGACTCTCTGCTGAACTTTGAGACGGTAGGGAGGCCTGGAGGCATGGAGGAGTGTGGCCTGGGCTCAGCGGGCATCGGCAATGTTTGTGTGCAAGGCCTGACATCGAGGAGGGGTTGGGTGTTTGGAGGGAGCCAGCCCAGTGCACATGCTCTGCTTTGGTCGGACCCTGAGTTTGAACTCCCTTCAGGTGAAGTATTACAACGCCGAGAGTTACGAAGTGGAACGCTATCGCGAGGCCATCATCAAGTATCAGGTGAGGGTGCCAGTTGGAAGTCTCTTGAGAGCAGTGAGCTGGCCTGGGGGTACCGCCCGGGTGCTGGGGGGCGCCGGCCTGGATGTCCGGGCCATTCCTCCCTCCTGTGTCATCGCCCCAGGAATTGGAGTGGAAGTCGAGCGCCTCGCTGGTTTTGCTGAATCAGACCCAGAACCTGGTGATCGGGCTCGGGCTCCTCACGGGCTCCCTGCTGTGTGCCTACTTCGTCAGTGAGCAGAAGCTGCAGGTGAGGCCGAATCAGGGAAGAGAGAGTTTGGGGGAGCAGCAAGGCGGGGCCCAGCATCTCCGTGTGGGCCCCCAGACTCGTGGGTGGGAAGCGGGCAGGATGATAGGAAGCGTAGCCTGCAGTGAGTGACACCACGGGCTCCCCTGGGTCTCCGCAGGTCGGGGACTTCGTGCTGTTCGGCACCTACATCATCCAGCTGTACATGCCCCTCAACTGGTTCGGCACCTACTACAGGTAACCGGATCCCTGGCCCGCACCTGTCCGGGTGCCTTGCTGTTCCCCGGCTCCTCAGCAGAGCCCCACCTGCACCCTTCTTGCAGGATGATCCAGACCAACTTCATCGACATGGAGAACATGTTCGACCTGCTCAAGGAGGAGACAGAAGTGAGTGAAGACCAGGGCAGGGTGTGCGGTCCGGGTGTTTCTTGTGCCTGGAAGCTTCCAGGCCAGTAATTCCAGGCACACTGGTGGCACTGTCCCAGGTGAAAGACCTTCCTGGAGCGGGGCCCCTTCACTTCCACAAGGGCCGGATCGAGTTTGAGAACGTGCACTTCAGCTACACGGACGGGTGAGCGCTCCCCGCTCTGCCTGCATTTTCCCTTCTCGGCGTCCAGTTGCTCGCTGCCTCCCTGCCCTGAATGCCTGCTTTTTGGCCCACCAGTGCCTGGAAGAGAGCTTGGGCAGAGAAGGGCAGAGTCCACCTGTAGCTCTGGTGATGGGAGGGGCCTGCTGACCACGCCCACCCTTCCTTGCAGCCGGGAGACCCTGCAGGATGTGTCCTTCACCGTGATGCCTGGACAGACGCTGGCCTTGGTGAGAGGAAACCCTGCCCCTCAGCCCAGACCCCGCAGGCTTCCCTCATTCGGTGCCCACGGTGGCTCACACGACCCAGGCTGTGGGGTCAGAGCCCCAGTATGACAGGCAAAAGGATGGAATGGCCGCTGGTGGCCTTTCAGAAGAGAACCCCCAAAGCCAGCGGGCCTGAGACTTTCCCCCTCTGGTTCCAATGCACCAGGTGGGCCCGTCTGGCGCGGGGAAGAGCACCGTCCTGCGCCTGCTCTTTCGCTTCTATGACATCAACTCGGGCTGCATCCGAATAGATGGGCAGGACATTTCCCAGGTAAGGTGCCTGGGGAGGAGACTCAGGGGTCCAGGTGTGGGAGAATGGCAGGGGCTGGGCGTCCTGGGAGTAGAAGCCGTTCCTGACACCATGTGAGCCCCCTTATCCCAGGAGCAGTGTAGCCGTGAGGATTTGTGTGTGCCGCGCAAGGTGCACTCAGCTGAAGCACGTAGAGAAGGCGGATTTTCTAAGATTGATTGATCTATTTGAAAGAGTGGCAGAGAGAGGAGAGGCAGACCTTCCATCCACTGCTTCACTTTCCCAAACGGCCCCAAAGGACTGGGCCAGGGAGAAGCCAGAAGTCTGGAGCACCATCCGGCTCTCCTACGTTGGTGGCAGGGCCCCGAGTACTCGGGCCATCTTGCATTGCTTTCCCAGGCCCATTAGCAGGGTGCTGCCTGAGAAACAGAGCAGCTGGGATTCAAACCAACGCTCCAATATATGGGATGCCTGCGTTGCAGGAGGCGGCCTAACCCGCTGTGCCACAGCACCAGCCCTGTGTATTTTCGTGTAGATGCAGAAAGAGAGCTGTTGAGTGATTTGTCCACCCAGTCGGGATTTGCGGTGGCGCCCACAGGATTCTTCCCCGGGGCCTCTCATCCCTGGTGTTTGCTGCCAGCTCAGCCTCCCCGCCGGGCTTGGGAGGAATCTCACAGGCAGCACACACGGTCTCTCGGCCTCAGGTAACCCAGAACTCTCTGCGCTCCCACATCGGAGTCGTGCCCCAGGACACGGTCCTCTTCAACGACACCATCGCCAACAACATCCGCTACGGCCGCGTCACGGCCAACGACGACGAGGTGGAGGCTGCTGCCAAGGCCGCGGGCATCCACGACGCCATCCTGGGCTTCCCGGAAGGTGAGCTCCTCTGCGGACGCCGCGCCCCTGCCCCTCAGGTCACAGAAGCCAAGTTTATTGCTCGTGACTGAGGGAGGCCGGCGTTATCCCCAGGGTACGAGACGCAGGTGGGCGAGCGGGGTCTGAAGCTGAGTGGAGGCGAGAAGCAGCGCGTCGCCATCGCCCGCACCATTCTCAAGGCCCCGGACATCATCTTGCTGGACGAGGTGATGCCTCGGGCAGCCTTCCCCTGCCCGCAACACCTCTGCCCCATGTGTGCCCGAACCATCCCTGCTGGGCGCCAGTTCCCACCTGGACAGACAGCACAAGTCCGTGTTAGACACTCAACAGCTGTCAGGCCCAGCAGTTAGGTCTCAGCTGGCAGCCTGCCTCCTCCTTCCCTCGAGGGTCGTGCGAGGCAGGAGCCGTTTTACCCAGGCTCTCTCCATAGGCAACGTCAGCGCTGGATACGTCTAATGAGAGGGCCATCCAGGCTTCTCTGGCCAAAGTCTGCGCCAACCGCACCACCATCGTCGTGGCACACAGGTACGGGACTACAGGAGGGGGCAGCCGGCGCTGTGGCCTGTTTCCCAGGGGTTAGCAGGACACCGATCTCTGGCTTTGCAGGCTCTCGACCGTCATCAATGCTGACCAAATCCTTGTCGTCAAGGACGGCTGCATCGTGGAGAGAGGACAGTAAGAGAGTCAGGACGCAAAGGGCAGGGCTTCTGAATTGGGGGCTCCATGGAGAGCGGGTGAAGTTCCAGAATCTTCTCCCGTGCCCACTCCCCGTCCTCTGCAGGCTGGTGGCCAGGCCTTGGGGGAGGCCTGTGGTCGGGCTGACGCTTTTCCTCCTTGCCTAGGCACGAGGCTCTGCTGTCCCGAGGTGGGGTGTATGCAGACATGTGGCAGCTGCAGCAGCGGGGCCAGGAGGAAGCCTCTGAAGACAGCGAGCCCCAGGCCACGGCACAGTGACAAGCGTGTGGCCCCTCTCCCGAAGGCTAACTCAGAGGGGAATAAGATAGACCCCTCTGCCCAGCCTTATGTCACCCTGGTCTTGAGATTTGGTGCTAGCAGTGGTGAGGGAGAGGGACCTTTCAGAAAAGCACCTTTTGGGGGGAAATAAACGTGTGGCCCGTGTGCAGTGACTGTGGCTTTGTGCTGGGGGCCATCGCAGTGGGCTCACCCTGGAGCCAGGTGAACATTCTTAACAAGACTTTCTGTTCGGGGCTGGAGAAGAGAAAGAAACACAGCACTTGGATGTCTTATTGTCTGCTTAGATCCTTTATTCTTTCTAGGCCCCTCCCTGCCCACTACATAGCGGGGCAGCCCCGGGGTTAGGGGGATGACATGAAGGGGGCCGAGAGTGGGGCCTGCTCAGTGCCCGTGGAGGGGCCGACCAGGGAATGGTTCCTCGCCGCTGTCCCCTGCCGCCAGAGAGCTCGCAGGGCCTTCTGCAGTCTTATCTCCACGGGCCTGGTGCTCCCTGGAGGCCATCTGTCACTCCTGCTTATCTGTGCACTCCAGGCCGCTCGGGGCCTCCTCTCCCTGTGTACCCTAGAGATGTGAGGGCCACAGTCCTCCTCAGCTGAGCCTCCCTCCCCAAGCCCAGGGCCCTAGCACAGGCTGCAGTTGGATGGCTTCAAGCTGCGGCTCTGCGCCTGGAGCAAGGAGAGGGGAAGAAGGGAAGACAGGGTGCGAAGTCAAGGAGATGAGGGGACAGCCCTCAGTTCAGAGCTCAGCATGGGCTGGAGGCACACTGAAAGCAAAAGGAGAACCACCGCCCCTTAGAAGACCCCCTCCCCCTCCCCCAAGCACACACATGCGCCACCCACACCCACACCCACACCCCTCTGCCTCCCTCCAGGGCAGGACCCCATCTGCACCCCGGCTCACACCTGCTGCCGCTGGTACTCTGCCTCACTGGCTGACAGTGCCTGTGCTAAAGCCAGGTCTTCCTCCTCCTGAGAACTGGGACGAGGAACAGTGACATCTAAAATTCATGTCAAGCGCCACAGTGCTGAGCCCTTCTGGGTACCCTCTCCATCCCCATAGCAGCCTCACACGGTGGGTATTCGTGTCCTAACTATGACCTGGCATCGGGTCAGAGCGGCCCCACCTCCCTCCAAACAGCCCTTGCCCACGGCCCACCCTCTTTCAGCAGAGAGGAGGTACCTGGGGACCTGGGGTTTGGTCTCTGCCAGGGACAATGCCAAGGCTCGTTGCAGAGCCTCATCCTCACTCTGCGAAGGGAGAGACAAGACCAGTTTCCTTAGGGCTGAAGCACTGCATGGGACTCCTGTCCATCCAACCTCTGCCCAACTCACCAAGCCATTCTGCAAAGCAACCACTGGAGGGGCTGTCCGGGATGGAGACTGGGTTGTGGCTCTATGGCAGACATTCAAGAGGCTGAGATCAGAGATGAGAAGGGGAAAGGGAGGGGAGGAGAAATGGGCGGGCCTACCTGCTGGGAGTAGAGGAAGGCCAGGTCTGGCTCGGGCTGGGGACGGTGCTGGCAGAAGCGGCCAGGCCCTGTGCCCTGGAGATGGCGGCCAGTCTGTAGGGAAGAGACGCTCTTGGCAAACCTCCAAGAAGGAGCTTCCCCCAGGGGCAGGGGAGGGAGGGACTTGCTCTGCAGCCTGGACAAACATGCACCGGGAGCTAAAAGACACCCCCCCCAGCCACTGGGGACAGGGTTGAAGGTTCCTAATTTGCAATGACAGAGGCTGAGTCTGTTCTAAAAGGATGAGACAGTGCCACAGGCAAATAGAGGACTTGGTGGCCGTTACCCTGCCCGGCTGGTCGGGCGCCCCTCCGCAGAGCAGTCATGGTCCAGTGGGTGCCGGTGTTTGATGCAGAAGTTTCGGCCACAGCGCTCGCAGGTCAGCTTCATCATCTCCCGCTGGCGGCAGCCGGGGCGCTCACACTTATTGGTGAAGATCTGAGGGGAAGGGGAAACTCTGTCTCTGCTCAGACCCCACCCGCATTACAGAAGTCCGCCGCGCAGGCGTCCCAGCAGGGTCGCCCCCCCCCCCACCCGCTCACCTTCCGTTTCTGCTGTGCCGGATCCGAGCGACAGTCTCTGTCAATGTGCTCCCCCACGGCGCGGTCGGGGGCCTCCCCTCTGGCCACAGGCACCGGCACGTTACAGAGTGGGCATACCGGTACCTGGATATCCTACAGTCAAGGGGGTGGGAATCAGCGCAACAACTCCCTCGTCCCGAAAGCACCTGGACATGCCCCCAGACAAATGCACAAGAAGACACAATATTCCCCAGCACTGACTGAGCCTTAGGAAGGAGAACACGGAGAGGACGCGCGAGGCAAGCGGACTCGGGGGGCTGTGCGTGCACGCTCCATCCGCCCCCTTCCACCCTCGGGATCGCCCCCTCACCTTTTGGTAAGCAGATGCACAGTGATGCTGGGCGTAGGCCACATGGTCTGCGCAGAAGATGCCCGAGCAGGCATCGCACTTGAGCGGCAGGAAATCTGCAGGGAGGGGGTCAGACTGCAGGCCCGGCGGGACCTCGGTGTCCTGCCCTCGCCAGGGAAGGAAAACACCGCCGGTGCGCCCCACGCTGCACCCTGCGTGACTCCACGATCGATCTCCTTAGCCACGCCCCCTCGGCCACCGCCCCCGGCTTCGCGCCCCGCCCTTTCCTGGTACTTCCAGCCCCGGAGCCCACCCGTCTCGCTCCACCTGCAGTTCCAAGCCCTCTCCCGCCCTGCCCTGCCCTCACCCAAGCGCTGACAGCTTGGCTCGGAACAGTGAGCCCCGAGGTCCGGAAACTCCATCGCCGGGCCGGACAGGAGCCTGCTGGGAGAAGCGGCGAGTCCTGAGCGTCTCTAGGGCTCCCGTTCCGGGTCCGACCACGACTCCACACTCCGAGGGGCGCCCCGCCCCGCCCCTTCCTCTCCCCCGCCCAGCCCGGGTTACCGGAGTCTCAGCGCCTGCCGGCTCTCGGCTCCCACTCCTCCCTCGGCGCCAGCCCGGGCGCTCTGACGTCACCACGCAAAGCGGGCGCGCCCTGCGCCGTATCCAGGCCCCCTCAGGGGGCGGTCCCGGCGGAGCCGCGCCCCGCCCCTCCTGGCTCCGCTGGGCGGGGCGCTGCAGCGCTGAGGCGGCGGGAGTGGCGGCTCCGCAGTCCTAGGCGCGGGCTCAGCTCCGCGGAAGGTCTCCCTGAGGCCTGAGGGATGGGCGAAGGGGCTGACGAAGTCCAGCGCAGGTGAAATCTTAGGGTCGGAGGAAATGAGATGGTTTGGAGTCTTTTACAATTCGGTCTTTGGCCCGCTTCTCTCTCTGCCCCCTCCCCTCTCTGTGCATCTTCTGGTCATTTTTCTTCGTTGACAGCCAAAGCTGCGTTTACCGTCTACGGGCTGACAACTCCCCATGTTTCTCTGCAGTGCAGGTGCCTCCAGATTTCAGCTTTGAGGCGCTTCCTGTGAGACTTCCCGAATCTCCTGTCTGGACGAGGTGCACCTGCTAGGCGACCTCCCTGTGGCTATTCCAGCACGCATATTAACCTCATTATAGTAGTCTGCTGACAGGCACGTGCGCACATACACATGCATGAATACCCTTGGAATGCCGGGACAGCATCCACGCATCCACCTTGCTCTGTTGGATCCCGGCAGTGCCTTGAGCAGTGTGGTTCTCAGACTCCAGTGCGAATTCAGATTACCTACGGGCTCAACTTAAAATGCAGATTCCGGGGCTCTTGGGCTCCTCATACAGTAAAAGCACCTGAGGGAATCCAGACAAGTTGCGCATATGCCATACTTTGAATTAAAAAAATCTAGAATATTCTCAGTGCTTAGTGTTTCTTGGATTAGGAGTGAGAGTCCTCCTGCTTTACCCTAAGTAGCTCTGGGTTGAGGCCTTCTAGGCTCAGCACATTTTACCTCTCGTATGTCTGAGGTCCCTTCTGCCCAGGGTTGGTCACGCTCCGTCTCCCCGTGAGTCTGCCGATGGGGACGAGTAACCAGGTGAAATGAGCTCGGAGTTGAACAGTGTCCTCCAGAATGGAGAGGGAAGCCAGGCCACAGCTGGAGATGAGGAACCCTTCTCCCCCTCTTTCTGTCTCTCCGTCCATCTCCAACTCTTGGCTCTTGTTCCCTCTGTGTCTGCTTCTTACACAGTCACAACTCTAAAGCCTGTCTCCTGGTTCCTCAAGCAGGTTCGTCCCAGCTCTGACTGTACCCAGTTGCCTTGATGGGGTCATGGGCCAAGCCCTGCACTGTGCCAGATGCACCTTTGTGCAAGTAGTCTGCGCTACAGAAGCTTTAAGGAAAACCCTGAGATGCAAACACTGGGCCTGAGCAAACACTGGGCCTATTAAAAAGAACAAGAGGTCTGGTCTTAATAAGAGAAGAAGCCTGAAGCAGTAGCTGAAGTCAGAGATGGGCCTGGCAGATGCGGCACAGGGCCCCAGGTGCAACTGCTGCATTTGCCCAATCATATTCTTTCCTGGGAATTAGGAATCAAGGCCAAGAGAATTTGTGTTCTTAATGTGTTCTTTTTTTTTTTTTTTAAGAAGCTCTTTTCTTTCTTTAAAGATTTATTTTATTTATTTGAAAGACAGAGTTAGAGAGAGAGGTAGAGACAGAGAGAGAGTTCTTCTATCCGCTGGTTCTCACCCCAGGTAACCGCAACGACTGGAGCTGCGCTGATCTGAAGCCAGGAGCCAGGAGCCAGGAGCTTCTTCTGGGTCTCCCATGCTGGTGCAGGAGCCCAAGGACTTGGGCCATCTTCTACTGCTTTCCCAGGCCATAGCAGAGAGCTGGATTGGAAGAGGAGCAGCCAGGACTAGAACCGGTGCCCATATGGGATGTCGGCACTGCAGGCCAGGGTGCTAACCCGCTGTGCCATAGCGCCGGCCCCTCTTAATATGTTCTTAGTATGAACCATGGAATCTGCCCTACTGCCCTCGTGCCATACTCTCTGAGGGGCAGCAAAGAGACTGCTGTCTTCAATGTTCTGTCTGATGGGACACAGGGAACTCATAGAAAGAGGCTGAGGGTAGGTATTTGGCACAGCGGTTAGGACACCACTGGACACCTGCTTTCATATCCCAGCGCCTGGGTTTGAGTCTGGGCTCTGCTTCTCATGCGGCTTCCCGCCAGTGTGCATTCTGGGAGGCAGCAGGTAAAGCAGTGAAGGCAGCACTGAACTGGCAGATGGAAGCGCACTCTCTCTCTCTCTCGCTCTCTCTTTTGCTCTCTCTCTCTCTTTCACTCTCTCTCTCACTCTCGCTCTCGCTCTCGCGCTCTCTGCCTTTCAAATGAAAAACATTTTAAAGAGGTTTACCTGAAAGTTTTACAGCTCATGGACTCTCATTTGGAGGTTAGTCTTGTAGCTCGTCTGTCCCTTACGTCCTCCCAAAGTCTGCAGCTCCCGGGAAAGCTATGACCTAGTGCCTTTGCTTCGCTGGCCTCACTTTATGGAGTCAGCGCCTCGCTCTGGCTTTGTCAGAATCTCCGGTCACCACCTAAACTCAGGCTAATGATACGCATGTGACTGTCTGTCCTGCCGTGCCCCTGAGGGTCTCTGCCATGGGGATTCAGCTTTTGGCACGGTCCCCTTTAGAAAGGTCAAGTACTGAAGAGTTTGCCAGTCATGAACTCCCAGACTCTGCTATCTGTGAAACCTGCGTCAGTTCTGTTAGTTTCAAACATATGAAATTGCGAACATTTGACCGTTTTTTACAAAAACAACATTTTCATACGGTTTAATCTAATCTACACAGCACACGTCACTGGCAAGAATTCTTTCTCTCTGACCTTCTGTGTGATTCTCAGCCTGCTGGGTTTTGGATCGAAAACACAAAGACAAACACATCCCATGTGGGAGTATAGTTTAAAGTCCATGCACCTAAAACCAGATGTTAGTCCTTCAAACACCCACCACGGGGCCTGTGCTGTGGTGTAGCAGGTAAAGCCACCACCTGCAGTGCCAGCATCCCATATGGATGCCAGTTTGAGTCCCAGCTGCTCCACTTCTGACGTGGCTCTCTGCTATGGCCTTGGAAAGCAGTAGAAAATGGCCCAAGTCCTTGGGCTCCTGCACCCGCATGGGAGGCCCAGAAGAAGCTCTTGGCTCCTGGCTTCAGATTGGTGCAGCTCTGGCCATTGCAGCCAATTGAGGAGTGAACCATTGGATGGAAGACCTCTCTCTCTCTCTCTCTTTTTCTTCCTCTCCTCCTCTCTGTGTGTAACTCTGACTTTCAGATAAATAAATAAAATCTTAAGAAAAATACTCACCACTTTTTTAAGGTGGAAGAGGGTGGTAGGTAAGATATGAGTTAAGCTGTTGTAACAAGGACTCAACATAGCAGTGACATAAGCAGAAAAGAAATTTGATGTCTTCTATGTGTAATGACCCAGGGCTGATAGGACAGTACCAGTGTGGGACCTGGACACATACTTCGTTGCTCTGCCATCCTTCAGGTATTACCTTTGCTTGTGTGGTTCCCAAGGAGTCTTTGTTCCAGGTAGCAGAATACAGGAAAGGAAAAAGAAGGCATACCTGTACCACTGGAAGGCTTGCCCCTCAACTTGCAGGCATCACTACTGGGAAAATTACATTGGCTAGCATTTAGTCACATGATCATAACTAGCTCCAGAGAAACTGGGAAATGTAGGCTTTCACTGGGTGGCCATGCGCACAGATAAATTTCTAATTAGTATGTCAGAGAAGAACAGACAGCTACTGTCACAAAGGGAAATCAAGGATGACTTTTATGATATTTAGGTCATCCTAACAGTGAATGGATGACACCAAGGGAGGATCCTGTAACGGCATACAGCAGCTAAGACTATATAAGGCATTTATCCTACGGGTACCACTTTGCCAGGCTCCTACTGGGGCCCATGCTGCCAGTTGTCTTCCCAGCTTCCTCCTTGATAGCATCCCGAGTTTATTCATGCTTCTCCAAAGACGCATCGTCTCTTTGCAGCCTCCAGGGTTGAGTGCTCTTCTTCAAATTTTTAACCCATACTAGGAACTGTGGGTTTTGTGTGTGTGTGTGTGTGTGTGTGTGTGTGTTTTGGTTTTTGTTTTTGTTTTAAGACTTAAGGTCTTTTAAAGAATTGCAGAGAGAGAGAGAGAGAGATCTTCCATCTGCTGGTTCACTCCCCAAATGGCTGCAAAGGCTGGAGCTGGGCCAATCAGAAGCAAGGATCCAGGAGCTTCTTCCAGATCACCCACATGCGTGCAGGGGTCCAAAGACTTGGGCCATCTTCTACTGCTTTCCCAGGCCACAGCAGAAAGCTGGATCAGAAGTGGAGCAGCCGAAGGCCGGCGACGTGGCTCACTAGGCTAATCCTCTGCCTTGCGGCGCCGGCACACTGGGTGCTAGTCCCGGTCGGGGCAATGGATTCTGTCCTGGTTGCCCCTCTTCCAGGCCAGCTCTCTGCTGTGGCCAGGGAGTGCAGTGGAGGATGGCCCAAGTCCTTGGGCCCTGCACCCCATGGGAGACCAGGATAAGTACCTGGCTCCTGCCATCGGATCAGCACGGTGTGCTGGCCGCAGCGCGCCAGCCAAGGCGGCCATTGGAGGGTGAACCAACGTCAAAGGAGGACCTTTCTCTCTGTCTCTCTCTCTCACTGTCTACTCTGCCTGTCAAAAAAAAAAAAAAAAAAGAAGAAGAAGAAGAAGTGGAGCAGCCGGACCCCAACCAGCACCCATATGGGATGCCGGCACTGCAGGTAGCGGCTTTACCTGCTTCACCACAGCGCCGATCCCAGTGATTTATCTTAAAATAATCATGTAGGGGCTGGCATTGTGACACAGTAAGCTAAGCTGCTGCCTGCAAAGCTGGCATCCCTTATCGAAGTACCAGTTTAAGTTTGATATAGCTCTCTGCTAATGTGCCTGGGAAAGCAGCAGAGGATGGCTAAAGTACCTGGGCCCCTGCCACCTATGCAGGAGACCCAGATGGAGCTCCCCAGACTTCCGGATTTAGCTTAGCCTAGCCCTAGCCACTGTGGACATTTAGGAAGTGAACCAGCAGATTGAAGATTTCTCCCTTTCCCCATTACTCTGCCTTTCAAATAAATTACAAATCATTTTAAAAATCATGCGTATGCACTTTATTTGAAATTTTTTTTATTTTTTGACAGGCAGAGTGGATAGTGAGAGAGAGAGAGACAGAGAGAAAGGTCTTCTTTTTGCCGTTGGTTCACCCTCTAATGGCCACCGTGGCCGGCACTCTGCAGCCGTCGCATCGCGCTGATCCGAAGGCAGGAGCCAGGTGCTTCTCCTGGTCTCCCATGTGGGTGCAGGGCCCAAGTACTTGGGCCATCCTCCACTGCACTCCCGGGCCATAGCAGAGAGTTGGCCTGGAAGAGGGGCAACCGAGACATAATCCGGCACCCCAACTGGGACTAGAACCTGGTTTGCCGGTGCTGCTAGGCAGAGGATTAGCCTATTAAGCTGTGGCACCAGCCTGAATTTTTTTTTTTTTTAATTTGAGAGAGAGACACAGAAAGATAGACAGTGGTCTTCTATTTAGTGGCTCACTCCCTATACACCCCAACAGCCAGGTCTGGCCTAGGCCAAAGCCAGGAGTCAGGAACTCAGTCAAGCTGCTGCCTATGATACCAGCATCCCATATGAGAGTGGTTGGAGACATGCTTGGTCTTCACTTCCTTCCTCTCAGAATTCAGGTCTAGAGGCCAGCACTGTGGCAGAGCAGGCAAAGCTGCCAAGTGAGAAGCCAGCATCCAATGTGGGCACCATTGTTGTTTTAAAGATTTCTTTTATTTATTTGAAAGACAGAATGTCGGTGCTGCAGGGCAGGGCTTTAACCCGCTGTGCCACAGCGTCCAGCCCCTGGAGTAAAGATTCTTAAAGATTGAGGTTGGGGATGAGAACTGCACCTACAGCTCACGTTCAAGTTCCCAGCTGGCATGCAGTGCTCATGACCCTCTTTCATTGGTTGACGATCGCATGTCCTTTAGGGAATTTTGATAGCGAATTGGGCCGCAGTCGGTCTGGGGCCTCTGTATGCAGGTGGTAGTTAATTTTTGCCCCAGGTCTAGAGTTCTTGGAAAAGAATCCCCCTCACCCCCTCCATGAGACAGACCATCAAGATGGTATCAATCTGGGGAAGTTGACTTGCAATCAGAAAGTAGGGTATGGGCCGGCATAGGGTAATCCTCCACCTGAGGTGCCGGCACCCCAGGTT